GGGGGACAGGGACACAGGGGTCTTTCCGGGGGGGGGGGGACAGGGACACAGGGGTTTTTCCCGGGGGGACAGGGACACAGGGGTCTTTCCCGGGGGGACAGGGACACAGGGGTCTTTCCCGGGGGGGGGACAGGGACACAGGGGTCTTTCCCGGGGGGGACACAGGGGTCTTTCCAGGGGGGACACAGGGGTCTTTCCCAGGGGGGACAGGGACACAGGGGTCTTTCCCGGGGGGGACACAGGGGTCTTTCTGGGGGGGGACACAGGGGTCTTTCCCGGGGGGGACAGGGCGCCGACCCCGGCCTCCATCAGTCTGTTGTGCACGCGGTGCCCTTCCTAGCCTTCTGGCTCATTGGGCATTGCTCAGCCCGCACTGGAACAGCAGCACTAGTGAGTGTACGGCAATCGGGGCCTGTGAGTGGCCAGCCCAGGGGCTTGCTTTCAGCCGTACTCCTGGCACCTTTGTGTAGTTCTTGGAGCGGTGAGGCACTTTGGGCCAACATAGTTGAGATGAGTTTTGAGTCCCAATTAATGGTCTTTTCTTGAAAATGTTCCATGTGCACTGGAGAAGTATATACAATCTGATATTTTTGGGATGTCAGTAATGTATATTTGGTCTAACGTGTCATTTAAGGCCAATATTTCTTTATTGATTTTGTTTCAATGATTCATCTAAATCTGTTAATAGAATATTTAGGGATCATTCTATGATTATTTTTGTCTGTATCTTCTCTTTACTTCTGTTAGCAATTGCTATATATATTTTGGTTCTCCATGATTGGGTGTATATATATTGAGAAGTATTATATCTTCTTGATGTAGTTTTCCTCTTATCATTATAAAATGTCCATCTTTGTCTCTTGTTACCTTTATTCTCTTTACTATTTTGTTAGATATACATATGGCTATACCTGCTTTTCTATGGGTATTATTTTCTTGGAGAATCATTTTGCACCCTTTCATTTTGAGTCCATATATGTCTTTGCAACTTAAATGTGGCATCAGAAGACAGCATTTGGTAGATTTTTTAAATACATATTTTTGTATTGATTTCAGAGAGGAAGAGAGAGGGAGAGATAGAAACATCCATGAGGAGAGAGAATCATTGATCGGCTGCCTCATACACACCCACTACTAGGGATCAAGCTTGCAACCTAGTAGAGGGTGTGTATGAGGCAGCCAGTCAATGATTCTCTCTCCTCATGGATGTTTCTATTTCTCCCTCTCCCTTCCTCTCTGGAGTGACACTCGCCAAGCTTGGGTTTTGCTTTTTTATTATATCTGCTACTGTGTCATTCCATTGGTGAATTTAGTCCACTTACAATTGTATTAATTTATTTTTAAAATATATTTTATTGAATTTTCACTGAGAGGAAGGGAGAGGAATAGAAACATCGATGAGAGAGGAACACCAATCAGCTGCTTCCTGCACACTTGATATGCACCCGCAACCAAGGTACATGCCCTCGACTGGAATCGAACCTGGGACATTTCAGTCTAGAGGCCGATGCTCTATCCACTGAGCCAAACTGGTTAGAACCAATTGTGTTAATTTATGTATAATGATCCCCTATAGCCACTTTATCTCTTTTTGTCTGTTCCTTCTTTCCTTCCTTCCTTCTTCCTTTTTTATTCTTTAAAAAATATTTTTAATTAATCTTTATTATTGAAAGTATTACATATGTCCCCTTTTTTCCTCCATTGACCCCTTCTAGCCCACCGCCCCCCAGTCCCAGGCCTTCACCACCATATTGTCTGTGTCCATGGGCTATGCACATATGCAAACAAGTTCTTAGATTGACTCTTCCCACACTTCCCCACCTTTTCCATCTTCCCTCTGAGATTTCGCAGTCTGTTCGATGTTTCTGTGTCTCTGGATCTATTTTTTTTCCCCATCAGTTTATTTTGTTCATTAGATTCTACATATGAGTGAGATCATGAAATACTTTCTCTGATTGGATTATTTCATTTAGCATAATTCTCTCCAGGTCCCTCCATGCTGTCTCAAAGGGTAAGAGATCCTGCTTTTTTACAGCTGCAGTGTTCCCTGGTGTAAATGTACCTCAGCTTTCTATCCACTCCTCTGCTGATGGGCACTTGGGCTGTTTCCAGATTTCAGCGATTGTAAACTGTGCTTCTATGAACATAGGGGTCATACATGCTTTCTGATTGGTGTTTGGGTTTCTTATGATATATTGCAAGATGTGAAATTGCGGAATGAAATGGCAGTTCCATATTTAATTTTTTGAGGAAACTCCGTACTGTTTTCCCTAATGGCTGCACTCCCACCAGCAGTGCACTAGGGTTCCTTTTCTCTGCATCCTCACCAGCACCTGTCATTTGTTGATTTGTTGATGGCAGCCATTCTGACAGGTGAGAGGTGATACTTCATTGTTGTTTTAATTTGCATCTCTCTGATGATCAGTAACTTTGATCATTTTTTTCATCTGTCCCGTGGCCATCTGTATGTCCACTTAGGAGAAGTGTCTATTTAGGTCCTTTGCCCATTTTTTAATTGTGTGGCTTCCTTTTGTTAAGATGTGTGAGTTTCTTATATATTTTGGATATTATGTAACCCTTTATCAGATGTATCATTGCCAAATAGGTTCTCCCAGAAAGGGACTCTGTTTTCATTTTGTTGATGGTTTCTTTTTCTGTGCAGCTTGTTATTTTGATGTAGTCTCATTTGTTTATTTTCTCCTTAGTTTCCTTTGTCCTAGGAGATGTATCTGTAACTATATTGCTATGAGAGATGTCTGAGATTTTGTTACGTATGTGTTTTTTGTAGAATTTTTATGGTTTTATCACATACATTTAAGTCTTTTATCCATTTTGAGTTTATTTTGGTATGTGGTGTAAGTTGGTGATCTAGTTTCATTCTTTTATATGTGTCTGTCCAATTCTCCCAACACCATTTATTGAAGAGACTTTCTTGATTCCATTGTATGCTCTTGCCTCCTCTGTCAAATATTAATTGAGCAAAATGGCTTGGGGTCTCTGTTCTGTTCCATTGATCTATATGCTTGTTTTTATGCCAGTACCAGATTCTTTTGATTATGGTGGCTTTGTAATATAACTTGATATATGATATTGTGATTCCTCCAACTTTGTTCTTCTTTCTCAAGATTGCTGCAGATATTACGGGTCTTTTTGGTACCATATATAAATTTGTTCTAGATCTGTGAAATATGCAGTTTGTATTTTAATAGGGATTGCATGGAATCTGCAGATTGCCTTGGGTAGTATGGACAATTTGATGATGAATATGTAATACTCTTCCACTTGTTTACATCTTCCTTTACCATTTTTTCAATGTACTGTATCTTTCCAAGTACAAGTTTTTTACTTCCTTGGTTTACTCTTATCTTAATTTTTCTTGTTGCAATGATAAATAGGATTGTCTTAGTTTCTCTTTCTGAAAATTCATTATTTATGTATAAAAAAAGCTACTGATGCCTGTCCGGTGTGGCTCAGTGGTTGAGTGTTGACCTCAACCAGGAGGTCATGGTTCGATTCCCAGTCATGGCACATGCCCAAGTTGTGGGTTTGATTCCCAGGATGGGATGTGCAAGAGGCAGCCATTCAATGATTCTCCCTCATCATTGATGTTTTTATCTTTCTCTTCCTCTCTGAAATTAATAAAAATATGTTATAAAAGGAGCCATTCATTCCTGGGTGTTAATTTGTTATACTGCTATTTGGTGGCCACGCTGTGTCGCCTCCTCCTCGTTGAAATCTAATAGTTTTTTTATGGAGTCTGTAGGGTTTTCTACGTGCAATATCATGTCATTTGCTAATAATGACAGTTTTATTTCCTCCTTTCCAATTTGGATGCCTTTTATTTCTTCTTTTTGTCTGGTCACTGTGGCCAGGACTTCCATGACTAGGTTGAATAAGAGTGGTGAAAATAGCCCTGACCAGTTTGGCTCAGTGGATAGAGCGTCGACCTGCAGACTGAAGGGTCCCGGATTGGATTCCAGTTAGGGGCTTGAACCTTGGTTGTGGGCACATCCGCAGTAGGATGTGTGCAGGAGGCAGCTGATCGGTGTTTCTAACTCTCTGTTCCTCTCCCTTCCTCTCTGGGGAAAAAAAAAAAAAAAAAAAAAAAAAAAAAAAAAAAAAAAAAAAAAAAAGTGGTGAAATTATTCCTCTCTTGTTCCCGTTCTTGGGTGAAATGGTTTTAGTTTTGCCCATTGAGTATGTTGTTTACTATAGGTTTGTCATATATGGCCTTTATCACATTGAGATATGCTCTCTTCCTACTATGCTGAGTTTTTATCAAAAGCGGATGTTGGACTTTGTCAAATGCTTTTTTTTTGCACTTATTGATACAATCATGTGCTTTTGTCTTTAAATTTTTTTATGTGGCCAAGATTGGTTTGGGTCAATGGGTAGAGCGTCAGCCTGCAGACTGAAGGTCCAAGGTTCAATTCTGGTCAAGAGCATGTACCTTGGTTGTGGGTACACCCCCCACTGTAGGAGGCAGCTGATCGATGTTTCTCTCTCTCCCTTCCTCTCTATAAAAAAATCAATAAAACATATTAAAAAATAAATTTCTTTGTGATGTGTCACATTTGTTGATTTGCAAATATTGTACAAACCTTGCATCCATGGAATAAATACCACTTGGTCGTGGTATGTAATTATTTATTTATTTGATTATTTTTAATTTTTTAGTTTTTTTTAGAGGGCAGCATACACTTTATTTTTTGTTACCCACCTGGCCCCCTCAGTGCCCAATTACCAGAACTCCAGGTCCCCACCCCACTTCCTGAGCAGATGGGCCTCAGTGTTGGGGCGGCCTGGGAAAATGGGGTGGGATGCCTCTTGAATTCTCCCAGGCCTCTTCCCCCTGGCTCCCAGGGGATCTCCTGGAGGCAGACAGCCTTCAGGCGGTAATGGCAGCCTGAGACAGAGCCCTTTGCTCTCTCAGGTCTGTGGCGACCCCCAGGTAGCTTTAGCCACTGTGGGTGCGGTGGGTCCCGGACTGCAGGAGGCCCCTAGCAGGTGGGAAACTTGCGCTGGATGAGCTTGTACTGAGGGCTCCAGGCAGGCGGCGGCCTGCAGCAGGTCCTCATGGTGAGCAGCAGTGCTGAGCTCCCGGGCTCCAGCCCTTCTTCCAGGTCCCAAACCCTGCCTTTGAGGGCAGCTGTCATGGCATCAGAACAGAGGGAGTAGAGGTCCGCACACGTCAGAGGGGACGGGCAGTGATCCAGTACCGTCACCAGGCTCACGGAGGGCTCCAGCTTGAGCTTGCATGTGATGGCGCTCAGAACACGGAGCTGGGAGGCATGCTCCTCGCTCACCCCCATAAACCCTGGCTTGTCAAATCTGCCAGGCCGCAGGAGGGCAGGGTCCAGGAGGTCTGCTCTGTTTGTGGCTCTGATCACAAACACATCCTGAGTGCTATGAAGCCTGTCCAGCTCAGCCAGGAGCTGAGACACCACACTGTCCATCACACCTCCAGAGTCTCCACTTTGCCCCGGCGTGGGGCCAAGGAGTCCAGTTCATCAAAGAAGATAATGCAGGGAGCCACGGCCCGGGCCCTGGCAAACACTTCCCGTACATTCTCCTCACTTAGGCCCACGTACATGTTGATGAGCTCTGGCCCCTTCACACTGAGGAAGGTGAGGCTGCACTCAGTGGCCACTGCCTTGGCCAGGAGGAGCTTGCCGGTGCCGGGAGGCCCGTGGAGCAGGAGGCCTGAGGGCCTCAGGCCCAGGCTCAGCAGCTCAGGGTGCTCTAGAGGGAGCTGGACGGTCTCCAGGATCTCCTTCTTCACCTCCTGCAGCCCGCCCACGTCGTGCCAGGACACCGGGAGGATCTTAGGGGAGCCGATGGCCTGGGAGTGAGCTGACTGCAGCTGCCCAGGGCCTGCCCAAAGTCCTCCGCCGGAACGAAAGCCAGCAGCACACAGCTCCCGCTCATCCTCCTGGCAAGCCAGCCACCCTCACTTTCAGACCTGATAGCAGACAGTCCAGCTTCTCCACAGAAATTAGATTTCAGAGATCAGAAACTTGTCTCTCTTCGGGTTGAAGAAAGCAATGCCCACCGCCAGTCGGGATCCGCAGCCAGCCTGTTTTGTGTGTGCTCACGTACCTGTTTTTCAGTGCTTGTGCCCTGAATGCTCTTTTCTCTTTCCGTCTAGTTGTAGAACTTCCACTCAGTAGGCTTTCCCGTGGTTCTGGGAAAGCCTACTGAGTGGAAGGGAAGGTTCTGGGAAGCCAGACTATCTGGGAGATAGTCTTTTAGTTGCAGTTTTGAAATTGTCGTGCACAGCAGCAGTTTAGGTGTTTACCTACACCGTCATCTTGGATCTCCAAAGTACTAATTTAGTTAGTTGACTTTGAGTTCATTAAATTGTCTGTTTTCTTGTATCTTGTTTCTGAGAACTGAAATCCCTAATTCTCTGTCATTAAAATCAGCCGTCACCAAGCGGTGGTCTGTGAGGTCTGAAAGGTTGTTGACCACTGACATTTTATTTTTTATTTTTTTAAAAATATATTTCAATTTTTTACAGAGAGGAAGGGAGAGAGATAGAGAGCTAGAAATGTTGATGAGAGAGAAACACCGACCAGCTGCCTCTTGCACACCCCCTACCGGGGATGTGCCTGCAACCAAGGTACATGCCCTTGACCGGAATCGAACCTGGGACCTTTCAGTCTGCAGACCGACGCTCTACCGCTGAACCAAACCGGTTTCAGCGACCACTGACATTTTAAATCACATATTTCCATTTATTTTTGGGACAATTTCTGCTTTCTTTCTAGGCTGCCATGTTACCTTGGTTGTTCATGGTATTTGATGGATTCCTCCTCGCTCTAGATATCTGTATGAATGGCACTCCTCGAATAGACAGTCTTCCTATTGCTTTACAATAGGTGGTGCTGAAGCAAAATCTTTAAGTTTCTACCACCTCCCTGGCATTTCAGATGTGGGTGGGGTTCATCTTGGTCTCAGAAAACAAATCCCCCCGGGGAATGAATGTAGTGGCCACTGGGGTTCCAAATCCGTGAAATGCCAAGCACTGTCGACGGAGAAGCTGTCATCTGTTGGTGTGAAGTGAACTGGGAGAATTTGGTCACTTCCTTTGTTGCTTTGCTTTCCCAGTATATGTTGACTGGCAGACATCTGTGGCATCACCTCCATGTCTCCACCCTACCCTGGGATTAGTTACATTGAGCCTGTCACTCAGGGAAAAAATTTCAGATGTGCCATCACTGCTACAGCTTCTTCTGGGGCCTGCTGATGGCTCTGGGAGGCGGAGGAGAGGCAGTCAGGTTCTCTCTGGAATGCTGATGGTCAAAAATCTGGCCACACCTCTGTCCTTTATCCCTGCCTCGGTCACTGGGATCAAGAACCAGCAACCTCTCGTGTACAGGGTAATACCCAATCACACTCACCAGGGCAAAGTCCACACTTTTAAGTGTCATTGATTAGAATATCAGATGTTATAAACATAAGAAAAGGGTAATCCATTGTATTTACCATATTTCTGCTCTATCGGTATTTCAAGGTTTTTTTCCTTTTGTATTTCAAAAACTTTCTCTAGTCAATTTAAAAAAAATATATATATTTTATTGATTTTTTTTTTACAGAGGAAGAGAGAGGCATAGAGAGTTAGAAATATTTATGAGAGAATCATCGATCAGCTGCCTCTTGCACACCCCCTCTCGGGATGTGCCCGCAACCAAGGTACATGCCCTTGACCAGAATCGAACCTAGGACCCTTCAGTCTGCAGGTTGACGCTCTATCCACTGAGCCAAACCAGTTTTGGCTTCCTCTAGCCAATTTTTAACAGTAGGTCTTCCAGTGACAAATTATTTTAGTTATAATTGTCTGAAAATATATTTTTTTACTCCTTCATTATTGAAGTACAGGGAATTTATAGTTCAGTTTGTTTTTTCCTCCCCCTTACAAAATATTGTGCCACTAGTTTCTGGATTCTAATAGGCAGGTAGTGTCTAAAACATGGATGGATATTCTGAACAAAGGGATGATTCACATACTAGCAAGAATGGAGAACAGCTCAAGATTCATCACCTTCTCAGACAATGTGCAATTTATTTATTTATTTAAAAATGTGTTTTATTGATTTTTTACAGAGAGGAAGAGAGAAGGATAGAGTTAGAAACATCGATGAGAGAGAAACATCAATCAGCTGCCTCTTGCACATCCCCTACTGGGTAATCCATTGTATTTACCATATTTCTGCTCTATCGGTATTTCAAGGTTTTTTTCCTTTTGTATTTCAAAAACTTTCTCTAGTCAATTTAAAAAAATATATATATATTTTTAAAATGCCCTTGACTGGAATCGAACCCAGGACCTTTGGGTCCGCAGGCCGACGCTCTATCCACTGAGCCAAACCGGTTTTGGCTCAGACTATGTGCAATTTAAAGATGACTTTAAAAAAATGTTACTTTTAATTACAGCTGACATGCAGTATATCAGTTTCAGGTGTACAACACAGTGATTAGACATTTATGAAAGGTAAAATGTGATCCCGAGTCTATTACCCATCTGGCACGTTACCGCATTCTTCACTATATATTCCCTATGCTGTACTTACATCCCGGTCACTCTTCTGTAACCCCATTTATACTTCTTACCAACCCTTGACCCCCTCCCAAAGGGCAGCCATCAAAATGTTCTATTTCTGATTATTTAGATTCCATATCCAAGTGAAATCATACACCTGTCTCACTCTGATTCACTTAGCACAGTGCGTGGCAGGGCCATCCGTGGTGCTGCAGATGGCAAGCTCTCCTCAGACCCTGCGGCCCTGGTCTGTGTGGCCTCATGTCAATCCCCAGCAGGGGCATGCAGAAGGCAGCTGACCGATGTTTCCCTCTCTCTTAATTCAACAAAAAGGTATTTTAAAAACAAACAAAAATCTTGTGCATTATTTTTGAACCACCGTTGACTGTGTAACTGAGGCCATAAACAAGCAAACTTATGTTTATAACATCTGATATTCTAATCAATGACACTTAAAAGTGTGGACTTTGCCCTGGTGAGTGTGATTGGGTATTACCCTGTACATGAGAGGTTGCTGGTAGATAAGGCAGATGTGGAGAACAGCTACCCAAATCTGGATTCTTTGGTTTGGACTCTTTGCCTAGGGACTCTGGATTAGCCTGAGCAAGGTTTTCTGAGTGTTGCAATACAGTCTCACCTTTCTCTAATCAATCTTCCTTCTTTCTTCTTAAATTTCATAGGTGTCAAACCTTCATGGTAGCCTGAAGGTTCCCTCTACCATGTTTCACCCCCTGCCCCGTTTCCTTTATGTGTGTGTCCCCCCCCAATCTTATACATATAATTCTGTTTAGGCATCTGTAAACTTAGGGTTTTGGGAAGAAGTAAGATATTTAGTACATTATGTTTTTAAATAAATCTTTTAAAAAATACTTTTGAGAGAGAGAGGGAGAGAGGGAGGAAGTGGGGAGAGAGAGACTTGTTGTTCCACTTATTTATACATTCATTGGTTAATTCTTTTATGTGCCCTGATGAGGGATCAAACTTGCAACCTTGGCCTACTGGATGATGCTCTAACCAACTGAGATAATGGCCAGGGCTTAGTCCACTGTCTTTTTGTTTTTTAAATTTTTTAATAATATATTTTATTGATTTTTTATAGAGAGGGAGAGAGATAGAGAGCTAGAAACGTCAATGAGAGAGAAATACCGACCAGTTGCCTCTTGCACACCCCCTACCAGGGATGTGCCCGCAACCAACGTACATGCCCTTGACCGGAATCGAACTTGGGACCTTTCATTCTGCAGACCGACGCTCTACCATTGAGCCAAACCGGTTTCGGCTTGGTCTACTATCTTAATACAGAAGTCACTATATTGAAGATTATACCTTTCAAATTTCAATAAATAGAGAATGAATTGGTTTTAACATATTTATTATCTGAGAAATCTTGTTTATTTTTCTTGCTTTAATGGAACATATTCCATCAAATTATCCAAGGAAATCCAGATAATTATCAATTTCTTCAAGGTTTTAAGTATATTTTAAAAGACCATAAAAGGATAAACATTATGCCACTTTAATAACTTTCTCCCCCTATACGTAAGGAATTCAAGTACAGAAATAAACTCTAGTGTTGAGGTAACATTGCAATCTTCTCCCAACATGACTACATAGGTGCTTAAGGTTATGTGAATATTGCTGTGAAGATTTAAGCTTCTTGAGGAACCAATACCACATCACATTTGGGCCAAAAGCAGCACATTTAGACCAAATATACCTGAAAGGAATATTTTCAACACAAGAATATGTAAGTGTGTGTGTGTGTGTGTGTGTGTGTGTGTGTGTGTGTAAAGGTTGACTGAACCACACTGGTAACAGGAAGTTAGAAGTCAGCCGTTGTTGGAAATACAGAAACATACACAGTCTTCGTATTCAAAGTCTTCAAGGGAATTTCTTCTGTAATTTCTAGAGTGAAAAGAGATGAAAAAAAATTTTTTTTTCTTCCTATTGTGCATACCATAAAAATGTCAGCAGCTTGAGTAAGCAATAAATTTGGCCTCACCCCAAGAGAGGTTTGACCTTTCACCTGATAATTAATGCAAGGGAGACAGCTAACTTGGGGGGAGGAAGCCACACCAGAAAGACCAACCATATAATTCAAGGTAAAAGTAAGTTAACCATGTGGGCAAGGACTCAATCATGCCTATGTAATAAAGCTTCAATACAAAGCCAGGCACCGGGGGTGAGCTTCTGCGAGGAACCTGTACACTAGCATGCACCAGGGTCAGGAGAAGGAACTGTCTATGACTCCTGGGAGAGGACAGCTGAAGCTCTGCGTCTGCACAGCTCTCAAATTCGGCCCTACACATTCACTTATTCCTTTCCCTGGACTAAACGTAGTCATGAATGCAAACACTTCCAGCGAGTCCTATGAAACCCGCTAACGTATTATCAAACCCGAGTGGCAGTTGGTGCCCGAAGTGACAGGGCCTTGTAGGAAGCCCTTCCTCCACGTCTGTAGTTGGACCCTGACTGCTTATACTGAGGGTTCACTCTTTAACCTTTGAAGGGCTGTGCCCCAATGGAAGTAATGCCACTTTCCACATCAGACCAAAGGCACTTCCTACATACACAGAAAAGGCCTAAAGCAAAACCAAGCCAGTAGCCCAGATTGGTGGTTTCTAAACATTAACTTCCAGTAATGGGAAGAACAGCTATTTCCAGGTCTCGGGAAATAAGAGTACGTGGTAAACCTAGGAAATGCCAGAAAACAAGAACTGGTTTTGTTGAACCACACTGATAACAGGAACTTTTCTACAACGGAAGGACTCGTGTCAAAGAATATAGGACCCAATATGGCCAAAGATAAAAGATTGCAGTATGTAAAGTGTAACACAAATGCAATTAACACCAAATATGTAAACACTCAGAAAGAGTGACAAAAGAAAAATTTAAAAAGCTCTTCGCCTACTTTGGTACATTTTGCTTCTACCCAGATCTGAATTCAAAGAAGAAATCAACTTTCTTTAAAAATGGCTCTGACTTTTCTGTTTGAAATGGATTTCCACAAAGGAGGACAATCACATCCACAAAATGAGATGTAGAGATAATTCCACTCCACAGACACTGCGGAAATGATTTTAGCCATTAATGTCAAACAATTCTGGATGCTGTCAAAACTGTATTTGTAAAAGGTGGTATAGTATTAATAGTGTTTGATGCATGTTTTGAGAGCAAATAAAACAATTCTGATTCTGGAAAATAAAATAAATAAATAAAAAATAAAAATGGCTCTGTCCCGCTGAGACCGGTTTGGCTCAATGGATAGAGCGTCGGCTTGGGGACTGAAAGGTCCCGGGTTCGATTCCGGTCCAGGGCATGTACCTTGGTTGCGGGCACATTCCCAGTAGGGGGTGTGCAAGAGGCAGCTGATTGATGACTCTCTCTCATTGATGTTTCTAACTCTCTATCTCTCTCCCTTCCTCTCTGTACAAAATCAATAAAATATATATTTAAAAAAAAAAAAAAATGGCTCTGTCCAAGCAGGAATCCTGAATGTAAAAATACTCTCAAAGCTGCCTCCTTAACAGATAGTAACTCCAAGATCTGGAGATGACATTTAGAATCTAGTGGAATAAGCAAGAATGCATCGGTGAGTTTTTAAAACTGTGAGCATTATGTGATCCTTCTATTTACCAAAGCATTAATACTTTATGAAAGACAATTTTTAGAGAAAAAAATACAGTGAAAGTGAGGCCAAAGATGCCAGCGTGTGTCGCCACCTGCTGTCTGGGTGGGGGCGTAACGACAGCAGCCCCGGGGCCCAGGGTGGGGCCTGGCACCATTTCTAGGAGGACAGAGGAGCAGAAATGCTGTTTGTTCCCCCTCTCTGAGGGGCTTCCGTAAGGCACTTGTCTCTGTCTGCCTAACTTGGAACTCGGTCAGGGCAGAAAGTGGTAGGTAAGACATTGTAAGGCAAACAAAAAACCCACAGCTGTGTGGAATAGAAGATTATCACTGAAACATACCTAAGGCCTAGGAGGAAAAGTACGAGAGAGATTCTTTGGGTAATTGGGCCTTTAACAGCATCCTGAGTAATTTTTGAAAGCTACATGTATGCCCTGGCCCAGATGTAGGGACAGAAAACACCCGAGAAGATCCAAAGTTTTCAATTCCGAATACAGTAAAAGGCTTTTCTGGCTAATTCTGGCTGCTCTTTAGGCTCAGTGCAAACCGAAGGTGAAGATGGAGGCAGAGCTATAAATAGCTTGGCTGTGCTGAATGAGCCAATCTCCAAAGACTGACAGGTGGGTATTTTGTCGTTAAGCTTTTAATGCCTGGAGGTCAAGATAATCTGTCAAACAGTAGTTGTAAACAAGCTAAGGGAACAGAGACCGAAGTGATTACACACAACAAGGAATACAGTTTTCGCCAGGGGTTGGAGACAGTGTTTGGCAAAGTCATAAAACAAATGAACAATTACAGCTTTCAAAAATCAGAAATAGCCCTAGCCAATTTGGCTCAGTGGATAGAGCGTCAGCCTGTGGACTGAAGGGTCCCAGGTTGGTTTTTTTTTTTTTTTTAAATAAATGTATTTTACTGAGTTTTACTTAGAGGAAGGGAGAGGGATAGAGAGTTAGAAACATCGATGAGAGAGAAACGGCGATCAGCTGCCGCCTGTATACCCCCTTACAGGGGATGTGCCTGCAACAAAGGAACATGCCCTTGACTGGAATTGAACTTGAGACCTTGCAGTCCACAGGCCGACACTCTATCCACTGAGCCAAACCGATTTCGGCTGAAGGGTCCCAGGTTTGACCCTGGTCAGGGCACATGCCTGGTTGCAGGCTCCATCCCCAGTAGGGGGCGTGTAGGAGGCAGCCAATCAAGGATTCTCTCTCATTACTGATGTTTCGATCCTCTCTCCCTTGACCTTCTACATGAAATCAAGTGAAAAAGCACAGAAATAGCACACCCTGGGAAGGGGGAGAGCCTAAATTCAAATGTGCAACTTTCAACATTAAAAATATCACAAGAAGCAGAAAAGTTATGGCACAGTCAGAGAAAGAGTTAAATGGACAGAATCTGTCCTTTAGGAAATGCAAATATTTGAATTTACACTCTATAGTAACTCTCTTAAATGGAAAACCACGAACTAATGGAAAGGTCAATTGAAGCCGCAAATAAAGAAATCCAAGAAAGAAATGTATCAACAAACTAAGAATATCAATAGAGAAAGTATAAAAGACCAAATAGAGATTCTGAGGCAGAAAAGAAAAACCGGGCAGGTCGGGTGCGGCCAGGCCCGGAGCAGCGGCTGCCAGGCTGGGAGCGGCCAGGCCCGGGGGAGCAGCCGGGTCGGGTGCGGCCAGGCCCGGAGCAGCGGCTGCCAGGCTGGGAGCGACCAGGCCCGGAGCAGCAGCAGCCAAGTCCAGAGCAACTAGGTCGGGAGCGGCAGTGACCAGACCCGGAGCAGCTGGTTGTGGAATGAACCAGAGCAACAGAGGCCAGGCCCTGAGCAGCCAGGCCCAGAACAGCTCGCTCCTTGCCTGCCCCTGCCCCACGGCTGCTTCTCAGACATGGCTGGAAACTTTCGTGGGAACTTGAGGGTCTGCTGAATCAAGTGATGAAGGCTTAGATCTGGATGTGTTGAGTTAGTTTAGGACTGGGGTGTTGATCTGTGAGTGCCTTGGGTGGGGCCTGGATGAGGCTGGTTGACCTAGTGGGAAATGTCTTTTGTGTGAAGTGTATCATTGGGCATGTGGAGGTATTATTGATATGAGAAAATGCTAAGTAACTGATTTACTATCTGAAAAGGGATTTACTATTGGGGAAATTGAGGGAAGAAGAGACTGAACATAAACTGCACCTATGGATGAGGACAATGGGGGATGGGGAGGGGGCAGAGGGTGGGGTGGGAACCGGGTGGAGGGGGGAAGAAATGAGGAACCTTTGTAATAATATGAACAATAAAGATTGATTTAAAAAAAAAAAAAAAAAAAAAAGAGAAAAGAAAAACCGAAATAAGATCATAAGAGGAGCTACTAGGAAATAGCCGATTTGAGCAGGCAAAAAAGCCAGTGTTCTTGAAATAAAACATTTGAAATAATACAGTTCAAATGGACTAACATATACATTAGGGGAGTTTTGGAAGGAGAAGAAAAGGTAGAAAGAACATTTGAAGAAATAGTGACCAAATCTTAAAAGCAACAAAAGAGAAGCCAAATGACAGGGATACTAATGAATAGCCAATTTCCAATCAGAAACCATGGAAGTCAAGGTAGTGTGGAATAACATATTTAAAATACTAAAAAATTATAAACATAAAAACTCTATCTGGCAAAACTGTTCTTCAAAATTAAGAAGTTATTAACGCACTAGAGGCCCGATGCAGGAAGATTCGTGCAAGAATGGGCCTTCCTTACCCTGGCTGCAGGCACCGCCTTCGCTCAGGCTGCCTTTCTGCCTTCCCACACTGCCCAGAGGCCTGGAGTGGCTGGGGCGGTGCAGAACGCCTGTGCCCCATCCTGCTCCCCCACACTGATTGGCTGGTGGGCATTGCGATGGTCCAGTCAATTTGCATCTTACTCTTTTATTAGTGTAGATTCCCCAAAAAAGAAAAGTTAAGGGAGATCATTTCCACTAAACGTGGTAAAGGGAATCCTTCAGGTTGAAAAGCAAGTGTGCTAGGCAGTCACTCCCGGTCATGTCAGTTATATAACTTTCCACTATTATTTTACAACTAGAGGCCAAGTGCACGAATTCATACACTGGAGGGAGGGAACTGGACGGGGAGGGTGTGTCCCTCAGCCCAGATTGCAAAATGATGGAGGTCAGGCCGAGGGACCCCTCTGGTGCATGATTGGGGCCATGGAGGGACATGGGAGGTTGGCCAGCCAGGGAGGGATTGGGAGTGCTCCAGGGCATGGCTGGCCCATCTAACTCAGTCCCAACATGCTGGACCCCAGCAATAAGCTAACCTACAATTTGGAATATCTGCCCCCTGGTGGTCAGTGCATGTCATAGCAAGCAGTTGAGCAGCTTTAGGATATCATTAGCATATTACGCTTTGATTGGATGAATGGCTGACCAAATGACCAGACATTTAGCATATTAGGCTTTTTAAAATACGTATATATTATTGACTTTTTACAGAGAGGATGGGAGAGGGATAGAGAGTTAGAAACATTAATGAGAGAGAAACATCGATCAGCTGTCTCCTGCACACCCCCCACTGGGAATGTGCCCACAATCAAGGTACATGCCCTTGACTGGAATTTAACATGGGACCCTTGAATCCGCAGGCCGATGCTCTATCCACTGGGCAACATATTAGGCTTTTATTATATAATAATAGAGGCCCAGTGCATGTAATTTGTGCAGAGGGTAGAGTGGCTGGTGATCAGGGCCTTCCTTTATTTCGTGCCATCTCCTGATGATCAGTGCACCTCATAGTGAGCGATCGAACTTCCAAGGGAACATTTAGCATATTAGCTGTGTGTGTGTGTGTGTGTGTGTGTGTGTGTATATATATATATATATATATATATATATATATATAGAGAGAGAGAGAGAGAGAGAGAGAGAGAGAGAGAGAGAGAAGTAGATAGATATAGACATAGATATAGATAGATAGGTAGATAGATATAGATATATAAATACTGGAATCATTTTGATCCTGGGTAAGAGAACAATTTAGAATCAACAAATTTAGAACATACTAATTTTCCTAGAAGCATATTGAGGGTGGGGCAAAAGTAGGTCTACAGTTGTTCATATAGAAAATAATGCAACAAAAGAAAAATAAAAAACAAAAACTTAGCATGTTCTACAATCTCACCGTCCATTTGAGACTCATTCAGAAACAGCTTTAGCTTCCTGCTGCGAAGGCCAAACATCTTGGCTGCTTCACACAGAAGACCTTCATAGGTGAGTCCATTCTGCCCACGTGGGTTTTCTAGCAGGAGGGTACCCACTGTTCCCATTAAACACTCTAGGAAGAAAGAACAGACTGGATTAAACCCTGAAGGTCCACACCATCAAGCTACAGCATCCGTAAGGAAGGGGGACGACAGCAAGCTTGGAAAGGCAGCCATGAGTGCAGGGCGCCAGTGAGACAGCTGTACAGTATGCAGAAACGTCTCAAACATCTCCCAGAGGGAAAGGGAAAGGAGAAAAAGAAAACCGATCAGTACAAAAAGCCCTGCAGCTTGGAAAAAAGTCATTCAGCAAAAGTGTCATGAAGAGCACAATGAGAACACCAAACAACTGGAAAAACTAAGTTTTCAAAACATTTCCCAAGAAGCAAAAATAAGGCTGAATTAAAATGTGTTGGCATTCAAGCAATTCAGCTTCATTTAGCTGTAACTTTTACCTACTCAATTTACCTCATTTCCTTTCCGTACCAGATGGATGAGAGTGTTTCTAAGCCTGTGTATGTTCATTTAAATTACTACATTAAAGCCAATGTGAAAAGCCCACAGAAGTCAGAGGTTGACAATTAAAGGGAACCTTACCATCCAACGCCCCACCACTCACCTGGCAGAAGATGTTTACAACTAGGGAAGGCATGTACCTTGTGGGTTTGCATTCAGGAGCTGTAAGTTGATATACTGGCAGAGAAGAGTACTAGGACTGTCAATCACAGAGGGAGCTGCTCCTGCAGTCACACGCAGCATCTTTCCACTAAGACTCAGTAAGTTGGTTTGGTTTTGTATTTCTACAAATAACAAAAAATAGTAATAAGACATCATTCTTTCAGGGGCAGATAGTTTATAGACCTGAAGTCATTCACTTTTCCATATTTATTAAACTACCATATGGATATCTTTACAGTGATACTTTCAGCTTGTTTATGAAAAGACACTGCCTTTTCTATAAAATCACATGCAATTAGTAGGAAATGTTATTGGTGCAAAATAGATGGCATAATATTCACAACCTAAAATGCAAACTATTTTGTTTCCCTTTAGATTTTCCCCTGTATAGTTGACTTTTGAAAATGGGGAAGAATGCAGATTTTTTCAATAAACACAGTAGGCCCTTTCCATACACTGGTTTTGCACCTAAGGAATCAGAAACAGTATTTTCGCATTCTCAACTTCAGATGGAAATACTGCTTTACCTGAAAGTCAGATGTGGTTTACAGAGCCATGTACAGATGCCTAAGTCACAAGGGGTGGATGGTGATTTAACTCTGCTCACTTAGCTAAGTTCCCCAGAACTTTCTGACTGTCCTGGATTGGGTTAGGGCTGACCAGAGAAAAGTACGCAGGATTTTATTTACAGCCACTGTTCCAAAAGTCCATGTGGGGCCCAGACCACTCAGCGTTCAGTTCCTGCCACAGAGTCAGAGGGGACAGCAACCGGCCTGCACTCGGTGCTCACCCAACGTCCAGGCCAGGGGCACAGCAACTCACTTGCCAAGCTGCTTCTGCAGGGCCTAGTTAGCTGTGTCGACAGAGAGGAGCTCCAGCCTGTGCTTGCTGAGCTCTTCCCCTCGTGGTTTTCCATGGTGGTTCTCTCTCTCCATTTACACCCAGCAGGGAAGGGGAGTTCCTATGACACAACACCTTTGTCGACATTTAAGGCTGTGAAATTTTTCTAGTCTTTGCCAATCTGGTATCAAGTAATTGTACCACATTGTGGTTTTTACTATTGAGGTTCAGCAGGTATTCCTTTAGTTACTGACCACTTGATTTTCTCTTTTAGGCTATTTAAAAGTTCTTAAAATAAGCATTCAGGTTAAAAAAACGAATAGTTTCCTACATCTGAGAAACATAAATTAGGGGACTTAAAACAACAGAAATGTATTGTCTCAGTTTGAGGCAAGAAGCCTGAGATCAGGTGTCAGTCGGCCTTAGGGGAACCCTCCCCTCCTCCAGCTTCGGAAGGCCCTAGCAATCCGTGCTGTTTCTCCGCTTGCATCTGCACAGCTCCTGTCTAGGCCTGCCATCATACAAGGTCTCCATGTCTTCCCACAAGGACACCAGTCATACGGAGCAGGGCCTACCGCACCTAATGCAACTACCTCTGCAACAACCTTATTTGCAAAGAAGGCCCATGGTACTGTGGGTAAAGACTTCAATGTTTCTTTTTACTTTCTTTCTTTTTTGGTGGATTGGTCTCATATTTAAACCTGTGACAGTGGGAGAGAATGTACATAGATCTTTAAAAAATTCTATTTGGACTTATCTTCCCGAGAATCTGGATTTAGCAAGATGCAGCCACTATGTTTAAGAAAGTTCAAACACCCCAGCAAAGTCTGTGAAGCTCAGAATCCTGCACCTGGCTAACAGTGCAAGTAGGGGGAGCTTCCATCTCCGAGAGGGATGGTGTTCTTGCTGCCACAGGCACAGGCAGGCACTGCTGAAGAGCCAGGCTGATTCACCCTCTGCCTGGTCAAAGGCCATGGATATCTTTCTCCCTTCTGCTCACCTGTTTCTCCGAGGAAGAGCGCCAGCTCTGAATTCTTCACACCAAAGATGCTAGTAACAGCACTCTTCAGCTTTAGGAGGTCTAACCGGTTATCGCCTTTTGGATTTTCCAGAAGCAGTACTCCACCTGAAAAGCCAAAAATATAAGTAAATCTGAAGAAAAAGGTAAATTTGAATGCAAAGGGCACAGAGTGTTCAGCTGGCCTTTCTTTCTTTTCGAGCACCTTCCACCATGCGCTCTCAGGATGCATGTGGGCAGTCCTGGTGGGTCTATTCTAGGGGAAACTCCTTCAAGAAATTATTTTCTAAATACAATCTTTTGTCTTTATGATCCTATTTGATGTTGCAGCATTTATGGATCCCTAGGGTTCAGAGTGGTAAAAATACTATCTAATTTAAACACAATATCCTCAAATGATCCTTCATACTTATTAATCTATACCTGAGATTTAACTACAGATACTTACTTTACTGATCTGTTTTATGTATTTTGAGATAATTAAAGAATCATTAAACCGGGCCCTTTAACCAGTCAGTTTATCACCATTAACATAAAGCTATCATATAATATCATACTCAGGGACTGACATTAACACAATCAAAACACAATAGTTCAGCCCAACTGGTGTGGCCCAGTGGTTGAGCATTGACCTATGAACCAGGAGGTCATGATTTGATTCCCGGTCAGGGCACATGTCCAGGTTTCGGGCTCAATCCCCAGTATGGGGTGTGCAGGAGGCAACCAATCAATGGTTCTCTCTTGTCATTGATGTTTCTATCCCCTGCCCTCTCCCTTCCTCTCTGAAATCAATAAAACTATATTTAAAAAAGCAACACCCGAAGACACAGAACAGTTCAATCACCAAGAGAACTCATTGTATTGCCCTTTAAAATCTACATCTGTTCTGGCCAAAGTGGCTCAGTGGGGTGGAGCTTTGTCCTGCACACCAAAATGTGAGGGCTGGATTCCCAGTCAGGGCACACACCCAAGTTGCAAATTTAATCCCTGATCAGAGCCCATGAAGGAGGCACCAACAGAAATTTCTCTCAAAAGTCAATTTAAATAAGTCTACCCCTAGTTCCCTCAACTCCCTATTTAATAACTGCTAGCAAACAATCTACTATTTCTGAAATAGTATCATTTCAGGAATGCGGTATAAATAGAATCACACAGTATGTACACTTTTGTGATCGACTTTTTACACTTGGCACTGATCTCTGCAGATTGTTGTGCTGATCAATGGTTTACCTATCCCTAAATTCTAAAGACAGTTTAACAGATTGCATTTTAAGTGTGTGTGTGATCAATTTGAGCTAATTTCTGTATAAGATGTAAAACTAAGGTCAGGATATTTTCTTGTGTAGGAAGATCTCATTGCACGAAAAGATTCAACTGAATTGCTTTTTCTTCGTTCTCAGAAAGCCTTTAGCCATCTCTTTGGAGAAGTGTTTATTCATTTATTCAGGTCCTTTGCCCAATTTTAAATTGGACTGTTTGACATAAAAAAATGCTCCATGCCACTATCACCAGAGAAATGCAACCTGTGAACGGGTCCTGACCAGGAATCAAGCCGCCGCCCTTTGGCGGGCGGGCGGGCAGGTGCCCGGGAAGCCAGGCATTTCTGTGTGGGCCTCCTGGGATAGGCTCTTTTCCTGGATGCAGTAGGTGGTACACAATACACAGCAACAAATCAGTTCCCTTCGTTTGAGAATGTGTTGATTTATTCTTCTTTGTTAAAGATATTTTTGCTTGATATAATCATGGGTAGAAAGTATACAACTTTTAACATTTGAGAAATGTCCTTAAGCCTTCGTGCCTTAATGGGTTCTGATAAAAACTTCAGTATTATTCAAACCTCCCCCCTTTTTTTAAGATTTTTATTTTATTTTATTGATATTTTACAGAGAGAAAGAGAGAGGGATAGAGAGAAACATCGATAAGAGAGAATCACCGATTAGCTGCATCCTGCACACCCCCCACTGGGAATGTGCCTACATGCCCTTGACCGGAATCGAACCCGGGACCTTTCAGTCCGCAGGCCGACGCTCTATCTGCTGAGCCAAACCAGTTTCGGCTCAAAACTCTCCATCTAAGTTAGGTGTTGCACATCCCTCTGCTTTTTTTTTTTTTTTTTTTTTAAATATATTTTATTGATTTTACACAGAGAGGAATTAAGAGAGATAGTTAGAAACGTCGATGAGAGAGAGTCATCGACCAGCTGCCTCTTGCACACACCCCAACTGGGGATGTGCCCGCAACCAAGGTACATGCCCTTGACAGAAATCAAACCCGGGACCTTTCAGTCCGCAGGCCAATGCTCTATCCACACCCCCACTGGGGATGTGCCCGCAACCAAGGTACATGCCCTTGACAGAAATCAAACCCGGGACCTTTCAGTCCGCAGGCCAATGCTCTATCCACACCCCCACTGGGGATGTGCCCGCAACCAAGGTACATGCCCTTCACAGAAATCAAACCCGGGACCTTTTAGTCCGCAGGCCAATGCTCTATCCACTGATCCAAACCGGTTATGGCACACATCCTTCTGCTTTTAAGATGTTTTCTTAACCATAAAATCTCTGAAATTTGACTACGCTCTCTTGATGAAGATTCTTTTGGGGTTTTTCGTATATGCAGTTTCCTCAACTTCTTGAATTTGTAGCTTATGAGTTTTATCAAATGTAGGAAGTTGTTAGCCATGTCTGTATTTTGTTAGTTTTGTCTCTTCTTTACTTTCTCCCAGAATTCATGGACAAGATTGAACTTTTACTGCCCTACAGGTGCTTGAGGCTCTGTTTGTGGAGCACTGTCCCACACCCCAAAAGGCTGCAGGTTCAATTCCCGGCCACGGCATACACCTAGGTGGTGGAGTCCACCCAGTCAGTGTCATATTCTCCCCCTTACTCTTTCTGACAAATGGATCCATTCTCTGGTGAGGATTACATAAACTCTCATTCTGGGTTTATAACCACTCCCGCCCGGAGCCCATGGGGTGAGGTATATAACAGAAGCGGGATGCGCCACAGGCGGCGCAGGGGCGTCCTCACATGTCCTGAGGGGTTACAGAGGAACAGTGTCACACAGCTGGAGACAGGATCTCTTTCTTCCAATGTCTTTTTAAAAAGCCTTTTAAATTTATTATAGTATCATTTTTAATTCTCACCTGAGGACGATTTTTATTTAGAAAAAGAAAAGGGAGAGAAAAAAATATTGATCTGTTGCTTCCTGTAGGTATTAACACCCAGAATGGGGACTAAACTAAGGTGACCAGATCTTCCCGCTTTTGGTGGGACAGTCTCGATTTTTAACAATTTGTCCCGCGGCGTTTTTAAAAAAAAGTCCTGATTTTTGGAAAGATTGGAAAGATTCCAAAAATTGGGACTTTTTTTAAAACGCCACAGGACGTGGAAAAAATTGTTGAAAAGCGGGACGATCTGGTCACCTTAGACTAAACCCATAAATTGGGTTATGTGCCCTGACTGGGAATTGAACCCGGAACCCTTTGGTGCACAGGATAACCCTAACCAACTGAGCCACTTGGGCAGGGCTGCATTTTTTTTTTTTTTTAAACATTTCAATTGATTTCAGAGAAGAAGGGATAGGGAGAGACGAGACAGAAACATCAATGAGAGGGGATCATGGATTGGCTCCTCTTGCATGCACCCTTGTCCAAAATCGAAAGGACCCTTTAGTCTGTAGGCTGATGCTCTATCCACTGAGTCAAACTGGCTACAGGCATTAAAAAAAAAAAAAATGTATTTTATTGATTTTTTACAAGGAGAAAGGATAGAGAGTTAGAAACATTGATGAGAGAGAAACATCAATCAGCTGCCTCCTGTACACTCCCAACTGGGGATGTGCCTGCATCCAAGGTACATGCCCTTGACAAATCGAACCTGGGACCCTTGAGTCCCAGGCTGATGCTGTATCTACTGAGCCAAACTGGTTAGGGAACCATTTAAAAAAACAAAAACAAAAAGAAACCAAGTTTTACTGTCTGTGTATCAGAATGGGTAATTTCTATTATTCTATCTCCAGTCCACAGATTCTTTCCCATCTCCTTGAAAATGTTGTTTACCTCATCCATTGAGTTTTTGTACTTTAGTAGTATTTTTCAGTTTTAAAATTTTTGTTTGATTTTTCGTTTATTTGCCGAGACTCTACTTTTCATTTTTTCCTACTGTGTTCATAATTATTTTGGGAAGCATTTTTATCATGGCTGCTTTATATTGTCGAATAATTTTTAACATTTCTGTTATCTTAAATGTTCATTCACATATATTACTTCTTAAAATTTTTTAAATTTAGCACCGAGCCATGGGTTATCTCTCGGGACAACTGGCACAAGTGCCGCAAGACTGGGAGCAAGAAAAAGCCTTGTCTGACAAGTAGCGAAAATGTGAGCTGGGATACCCCGCTGCCAACACTGAGATTGGACCCCACCGCATACACAGTCCAAGTTCTGGGAGGCTGGGTTGGGCAACTTCTTCTGGGGCTCGCAGAGCAAGGATTGCTGATGTTGTCCACAAGGCGCCCACCGGCCTCCCAACCACCAGCCTCCGCACCAAACCCCGGTAAAGAGCTGCGCCGTGCTTGCTGACAGCACACTGATCCAACAGTGGTGAGAGTCCCACTGGGCACTGCCCTGGGCCGCAAGGGGGCCAAGCTGACTCCTAAGAGGAAGAGTTTTAAAACAAAAAATGATCACAGAAAATTCAGAAGAAATGTGATGAAGGAAAAAGAATCCACAAGCAGCAGTCTTCTCGAGAAGCAGTGCCCGCAGGCGAGCTTGTAGCCTGCATCGCTCCAGACCAGGCCACACACACAAAGGGCTGTGAGCTGAGGGCAGAGAGCTGCAGTACTACCAGGCATTAAATCCCGCCCATCTTAGCTCAGGTAACCAAGGTATTTGTTCTAAAACAAAAAAGATCTTCTCAGTTCTTGGTATGATGCCTAAATTTCAGTTAAAACCTGGACATGGTAGGTTTTATGAGCCCGGCTCTTAATTAAATCCATTTTAGCTGACCTTGTCTGACATCGCAATGCCAGGGGAAAGGCGGTACTGCTTCACTGCTGCTTAGTGGCAGCTAAGTCCAGTTCCCGGTCACTGACACTCCCTGTCCCTGCTGGGCACGGGGACAGTGACGTGACAGGGAGTTCTCTTTTCTCCGGGCTTTCAGTGACAAGCCTTTCTGGCTGCGAAGAACTGAATGGCCTCCTCACTGCTCTCCGAAAGGCTTCCATGCTAGCTTGTGGCCTCACAGCCCTGGGGAAGAGATGCCCTAGTGCACATGCCTGGCAGAGGGCTGGCTGGCAACCAGGTGGGACGGAAGTCCGAGCTGCCCGCCTGGTCTCTGCCACCACCACGGCGGTGGCTGGGAGCTCCGCAGCTTGGCAGAGGCAGGAGTCTAGGTTCCCCACTTGGCCTTGATTAGTATGAGCAGTGAGGTTACAAAATGTTCTGCTATGTTCGCAGGAAGACAATTGTCTAAAAGTTTTCTGACTTGCTGGGCTGCAGGATTTTGCCCGAGTCTTTCTGTTCACGCTCACTGGCATTTTCAGACTGCCAGCTTCTTCCACTCCAAGTCTGGAGGCAAAAGAAAACCCAGAGAACACAGCGCTGTTTGGCGGCTTGGTCCCTCGGTCCTTGGCTGGTGTGCCTTCTTCCCTGCACTTAGGAGGGTCTTGGAAATGTAAGCTGCACTTTTCTTGTTTGTAAGGCAAGTGCCGGACTTAAGCTTTGTTTGCCTAGGAGTCCATTTCAAAGACAGCTGCGCCCAACACACACGTCAACACACACGTCGCCAGCCACTTGACTGGACAAAGCCAGACTGAGCCCCTGCACTGCGGCTCCCTTGCTTTAGGGACTGTGGTTATTTCAGTAACTGACATTTGAACTACTGTTTTCTTTCCCAATGCTTTAGAGAGAGGAACGGGGACCAGTCAGGCCGGCTCCAGGAGAGGAACAAGCTGTCTGTGCCATCGTCCTGGGTGCAGCCTCCCACCTATGGTCCCCTGCGGCTGCAGCCAGCCCAGGTCCTGAGTGCCAGCGGCTGGCTGGAGGGAATCCTGGGTCCCAGGTGCAGGGCAAGGCAGAGACAATTAGGGGTGATCAGGCAGGCAGTGAGCGGTTAGGAGCCAGCAGTCCTGGATTGTGAAAGGCAGTCGGACATCCCCCAGGGGGTCTGGACTGGAGAGGGTGACCAGGCTGAGAGACGCCCCTACCCCTGTGTACCAATTTCGTGTACCAGACCTCTAGTTCTATTATAATAGCTTCAAAGATATTCATAGGTTTAAGTAAAAAATAAAATACAGACCATGGAATTACTTACTCTTACCTTGCTCACTGCCATTTGCACAAATGTGAAGATTGACATATGCACAAGCAGGGCCAAGTACGGAGGATCCCCTGGTGAGTGTGATTTCCAGGTCAGACCCCTTTAACTGAACAACAGAAAGAGGTGATTGCAAAACTGCAGCAGCTGACCACAGGGCACTAATAATGCAGCAACCATTTCTTTAAGAGAAGAACTTTCTACAATTCTGAGAGCATATTCAATGCCATCATTAAAACAGTCAAGGGCTACATTCCCCCCTTCTTCTTTTTACCTTGTTTGTTCAAAATATACAAAACAGACAATGAAACCATCTTGTAAACTGCCCCACTGAAAAGATAGTCATTTTCAGCCCATACCTGTCTATCTTAGTTGTCCTAAACCACGTAGGAACAAGATAAGAAGCAAACGATTAAATAAATTACTAACAGATTTTCTTCCCCTATTATAAATGACCAACTTCTGGCTGTGCCTTGTTATCAGATTTCCATAGTCACCTCTAAAATGTACCAACAGAAAATGAAATTTTAGTTTTATGTATAACCTACTACCTTAAAAGTTAACTGCAGTTTAATATCTATTCTCAAAACACACAACACTGACTTGTGTAGTTTAGACACAATTGTAAATCCTGGCTGCCTTCCTTCCCCTCTCCTGTTCTGGACGTCATCTCTCTGACCCTCCTGACTGCCGGCCAGAGCCATTGCTACTGGGGAGACTGAATTATCAAGATGTGAGCACATAAACTTAACATAAAATTTAAAACTGAATCTCTTAATAGTTTCACAGAACTCACCTGCATTTTTTCTTGAATAAGGATTTTATCTGATGTAGGGACTGGATATGGTTTCAAGGGAGCCTTTATAGTGGCAAATATGAACTCCATGTGGCTTTCAATAATGGTGTTCAGATAATTTCCTTCCGATTTTGCTGTGTAATAAACTGTTATTTCCTCAGTGGGAACCAAATTGCACTGAAAGCACATAGGGAAAAAGTAAAATGGGAAGCACTTGATTAGTCAGCAGGTCCGGTGCTGTGGAACACGGGCTGACAATTCCATGCTGAGTCATGGGGGGAGGGCCCAGCCTCTGTCCTGCCCACCCCGGAAACTAAGGCGAAGGCGTGGCGCAGTGAGAGCCACTCTGAGCTCTGCGCTAGCCCCGAGTTGGAAGCAGACCCCTCAGATCCTGAACTACAGGTTTCAAACCTGGCCTCCTGAGGAGGGTCAGTGGGTGCCCACCTTGGGATAATAGCTCCCTGGCTCTCTCACCTGGTGAGGGCAGGCAATGGGCTAAGTCCCCGTTCTGGCTCCCAGCTCCTGAACAAGGAAGAATCAATCCTTCTGTCCAGATAAAGCACTATCTCCCCTGAACGAGAAGCCATTTGATGCTGACCTGACTGCACCTCTCCCCTTCTCAGACCCTAACGGTCCTCTGCCGGCCTTCTGCACCCCTTGGGAGGGCAATGAATCCAGAAGATGGTTTTGGAGAAGCCCAGGGAAGTGGAAACAGGAGGAAAAGGGGCACAGGCTGGCTGAAAGCTCCAGTTAGAGAAACCAAACACCCGCACTCAGCTTTTCCTGGACGAATAAACTAAGTTTCATCAATTACCTTGGACTATACTACCTACCTCTCCCATCCTCCCCAACACATAAGACAAAACAAACAGAACTCCAAATCGGCAGCTTGCTCTCCATGTGACAAACCTTTTTGCGAAGTTTCTGGATGCGATTGATGACCTCACGAGCCACCCCTTCATCCACCATCGCCTGGTCAGGGGTGACATCTAAGAGAACCAGAGCCTGCAGGAATTAGCAGAGCAAACCATGACAACCGAGTAGAGAAAAAGTTTTTTCAAACTTAGCAAAATGCGATTTAAAACTAAATTCTGGGAAGTCTGATATGCAGCACTTTTTATTCACAAAACTAAGCAAAGGACACAATTAATCTAGTTTCTTTCTAGTTTGATTCCTGCTTGTAACCAGCGATCCTGCAGATCTGGAGAGAGGGCAGCTTTCCCTTTTCTTCTGCAGGATGTGCTCACAGGAGACGGTGAGCCCATCTATTAGTCTCTCAGCTCTGCTCTTCTGGCCTGTTTAATGAATAGTGTCAACTCTTCTAATAAAAACATCAGTAGCATAAAGCCTGAAGAACAGCTTTCCAAATGGATCTACCACAAACAAATGAATTAAAGGCCCTACCTGCTATTTTCTTAAGCCATGACCCCTTTTTATTCTTTGGTTGATTAGTGGGAGTCAAGAAGCAAGTTCTACAATGGACACAGTTGTTTTTATGACTTTAAATTGCCACCTTCTTGTCAACTTTGTCAACTTTTCTCTCTCACCTATTCTGAAGGTTGTCGATGATGTACTAATGTAAGTATAACTTCGATTAGAGGGGAATATACTTGCAAAGGAGGTAAGATCACCATTTATCATAAAGGAAACTCAATCAGAGAAGTTAAACTTTGCAAAGGTGCAGAAACCAGTACTGGAAATGGATGAGGAGTCGGGCCCCCTGGCCTACACCGATGACTTCAGGCCCTCCCCCCCACTGGCTAGAGCCCAGGACTGCGCCCACTGCGTTCACACTACTCTCTGCCCTTCTGGTCCCTCACTTTTGGCTCTGAACCAGTCTGCCTACATGTTGTCTACATCTAGCCTAAGGCCGGTTCAAAGGCTTGAGAAGGCTGACCTCTTCAGCCCAAATACTCCTTCCCTCCCCTCATCTGGCATGTTAGCCACAGAGGGCCTCCATCAAGCCCCCACTCCCACAATGGAGCCCCAACAACCTATTGATCTTGAGAAGTCTGATCAGGAGTGAAAGGAGATGCTGTACTCCAACAAAAACGTCAACCCCAGAATCCAAAACTGCCCGCACTTCCTAGCCATCTGGCCACACTGGCTAGAAGCTCTACCAGATCATTTATCAGACAAAATAAAATATGGCTCACTCTCTTGTCTCCATGACTGGCTTATTCCTTAAAGAGTGGGATAACATCTGACTCATTTTACTATAACCTCACACTTAGGACAAGTACTCCCATGTAGAAGTCACAAAATATCTATTTATGCACTGGTTAAAAGGTATATGTACGGAGCATATCAAAGAAGAGTTTAATAAGCCAATGTAAAATGAATAACTGGTTTATTTAACACCAAGACAGCTGCAAACACTTTCAGGAAAGGCACAGGTACAGTATAATTTCTCCACTATGGTCTTATCCTTTGATTGAGAAATGCTCTAGGGAATGGAAAATACCTGAGCATCCGAGTGTGCTTCAAACTGCGTTGTCTCAACTGTTGCTTGATCAAAAGTGTACAAGAGGCGAATGTCATCTTCATGCAATTCATGGCCTTCCACAACGATGGTCCCTAGTGCAGATGCAATTGCCACGGTTCATCAGTCCCTCTTGCTCCACAAAACGCCCTGCTACAAGTACATTGTGCCACTTTTTGATAAAATATTCGTAGCAGCCCTAACCGGTTTGGGTCAGTGGATAGAGCTTTGGCCTGCAGACCGAAAGGACCCAGGCTCAATTCCGGTCAAGGGCATGAACCTTGGTTACAGGCATATCCCCAATAGAAGGTGTGCAGGAGGCAGCTGATCGATGTTTCTCTCTCATTGATGTTTCTAACTCTCTAGCCCTCTCCCTTCCTCCCTGTAAAAAATCAATAAAATGTATTTAAAAAATATTCGTAGTACTAATCTATAAAGGTTTTATAATATCAAGTCCTCCTAACCCAATGTCTCCAGCTGTATATAAACTCCCAGGTCCAAAGACATGCCAGGAGGCCGTGAATCCCCACCATAAATACAGACTTCAGAATGTAATGTAAGATACAGTCTTTTGAGTCAAATCAAACTTAGGCCCAGCCCTCAATGATGGGAGGGCCTCGGTCCCATTGTGTGCCGAGCAGCGTGCCATCAGGAAAGTTAGATGAGGTGAACAGTGTCATCCCTGCCAGCCCAAGTGGAGGAAGCTGGCAATGCCCATCTTCAGAAAGCCGTGTGGTTACCATCATGCTCTTGGTCTCTGAGCACTGGGCTGCTGTTCTCACTTCTTGTCATTGGGATCTCAAAACTATTTTGCTTTCCATCAGTGCAGATCAGTCTATTCAGAATCTACAGTATAAAAATGGCTACCTTTTGGTTTCAAATATGTATTTCAGAAATTTTTGACATTTTGGCTACCTACAACTTACATCCTTAACTGGAAAGTTGATCAAAGATTTTCACTTAATGTAGCAAGTTAAATTAGTTACGACTCAACTTTTAGTTGCTAGCTTCTCATATAAGATCTCCAGATAAATTTTATCAAACAATTTGAAAATTCTTAAGGACATTTCCATCAATTTCCATAATCACTCATTTGAGCTGAGTCTAAACATCTTTCCATGTCATCTCTGTGCTTATGATTTTCTACTTTCAAGGGAGCCCTTAACAGCTTGCGTCCCAGGACAGCTGCTGATGCTAAGCAGCTGTCAGAAGGCCAATCATGACTGTAATCACGGCAGAGCCGATAACTTTTCTTTTTTTAAAATATATTTTATTGATTTTTTACAGAAAGGAAAGGAGAGAGATAGAGAGCTAAAAATGTCAATGAGAGAGAAACATTGACCAGCTGCCTCTTGCACACCCCCTATCGGGGATGTGCCTGCAACCAATGTACATGCCCTTGACTGGAATCGAACCTGGGACCTTTCAGTCCACAGACCAACGCTCTACCACTGAGCCAAACCGGTTTCGGCAACTTCTGAATCCATGGATGGGAGAGAAGACAGAGCCGACTCCTTTCCTAAACTCCTCTCAATGTCCCACAGGTTTCTATCCCAGCACTTACTAGAACAACAATTGCCTCCATAAGTCTTCCACGTCCACCAGCAAGCACAATGAGAGCGAGGACAACGTCTGTCTTATTACTGTTAAACTCTATGCTGCCAGTGCTAACCAAACAGAAGGCCTTTAAAAATATTTGCTGAGTGAATAGAGCCAGCCTTGGCCAGTTGAGGCCAATATGTGGATTATAGAAATGTTAGAGAAACTGTGACAGGTTCTGACTTAAGTCATCATCTTTCCCCCCTCCTCCCAATCGCACCCTCAAGGGTTCTGCTTTCTTTTTGACGAGGGCAGATTATCTGGGCCCACATTAACATCTGTAGAATTCAATGGTAACCATCTGATCCTGTAATTTCTACCTAGAAATTTAGTCCAAGGAAAACATTCATTGAAATATAACATAGTATTAAAAAGAATGAAAAAAACATAAGGCACCAATAATAATAGATTGAGTAAAACCATTATCAGGTATCCTTATAAAGGCAAATTAGACAGGTACTGAAATAGCATTTTATGACAGTGAATGCCAACCAAAAGCCTCCCTGAGCCGAGGCACCATCAGTGACACTCACCACGCTTCTGGAACTGCTCCAGCTCCTCACTGCTCAGCTGCTTGATGGATGTCATCACTGCTTTGAAGGCTCCCTTCAGCCGCTTCCCCAGGATCATGTGATCTGGCTCTGCCCTTAGGCGAATACCATACTTGTTTTTATCTGTAGACAGGGTAACCTTTCGAACATTCAACTCCTATGATTGGTAGACAAGATAAAAAAACAAGTGAAATGACATAAATGTCAACAAAAAAGTGCTCATAAATTTTGATAGTAACATTATTCACAATAAACAAAAAGTAGACAACCTCAAATGTCCATCAGCTATGAACACAGTTTAGAAAATACTGTCAAAAAAAAAAAAAGTGGACAACCTCAAATGTCCATCAACTATGAACACAGATAAAAAATGTCATCTATCCAGTCTGAGCTGGTTTGGCTCAGTGGATAGACTGTCGACCTGCAGACTAAAGGGTCCCGGGTTCAATTCTGGTCAAGGGCACATGCTCAGTTATGCACTCAATCCCCAATAGGGGACATGCAAGAAGCAGCCAATCAATGATTCTCTCTCATCACTGATTCTTCTCTCTCTCTCCATCTCCTTTCCTTTCTGAAATCAAAAAGACATACATATATTTAATGTGGTATATCCATACAATGGATTCTTATTAAATAATATAAAGAAACGAAGCACTAACTCATCTAAACATGAATAAAGTGGAAGATGTCAGATACAAAAGACCATGTATCATATGACTCTATTTGCAGGAAATGTCCAGGGACAGAAAGCAGGTGTGTGGTTGACAAGGAGGGTGGGATGTTGAGGAGAAACGGTGCATTAATTTAAAGGATACAGGACTTCTTTATGTGGAGGTGAAAATGTTCTAAAATTGTGATGATTAGTTTCACAACTCTATAAATTCATATTAGAACCCACTGAAATGAAAGATATGAAATAACGTTTCCTGTCCTGCTCAAAATAGTTTAGCATAAAATCAACTAAAAACAACTCTAGAAAAAGGTTCTATCTCTCAAGGGTAGATAGTCTTTGCTCAAGCCATTTCAGAGCACCACAGGTTAACCAATAAGAAGAATCAGTTAACCAAAACATTTCGTGCCTCCATCATGCTATTATCACTAATGAAACCGAAGCTGACGACAGCACAAGAAATGTAACCGAAGCAAATTGTAAGGAAGTGTTCTAGTTTTTCTATTATACATAACTGTGTTATAAACCTTATTATAGTGATTAAGATGTTCTATTTAGCCGAAACCGGTTTGGCTCAATGGATAGAGCGTCGGCTTGGGGACTGGAAGGTCCCGGTTTGATTACGGTCAGGGGCATGTGCCTTGGTTGCGGGCATATCCCCAGTTGGGGGTGTGCAGGAGGCAGCTGATCGATGACTCTCTCTCATCGATGATTTTAACTCTCTATCTCTTTCCCTTCCTCTCTGTACAAAGTCAATAAAATATATTAAAAAAAAAAAAAGATGTTCTATTTAAATATATTCTATTTTTATCCACATCTGCAAGCATTACTTACAAAATTTTTAACTCTTTACTTTCTAATATTTTCTGTAATTCTCTAGCAATAGTCTGTCTATGCAAATTAACCATCACTCCACAACAAAATGGCGGTGCCCATAGCCACAAGATGGTGGCACCCAGTCCTCTCAGCCCCACTGGAGTCTCCCAGTCTCAGGTAGGGCTGCCACAAGAGCTTACAAAGTGGCCTGAGGAATGCTGTGAAGATCCTTTATGAAAAATAAAACAATCTCACTCCCCACACGCAATTCCCTGCTAGGGGCAGCAGCCTGGAGTCTCAACCACTGAGTCACACCAGCCAGGCAGATATGGAGGAATCTTAAATGTTTCTTTTCTAAAAAAAAAAAAAATATATATATATATATATATATATATATATATATATGTATAAAGTTGATTTTTTACAGAGAGGAAGGGAAAGGGATAGAGAGCTAGAAACACCTATGAGAGAAACATCAATCAGCTGCCTCCTGCATACCCCCCACTGGGTTTGTGCCCCCAAAGTACATGCCCTTGACCAGAATCAAACCTGGGACCCTTGAGTCTGCAGGCTGATGCTCCATTCATCTAGCCAAACCTGTTAGGGCTGTCCAATATGTTAAAGAAAAAACCCTATCTAATAAAGAGGGAATATGCAGGGGAGGGTATTTGGGGGTGACCAGGTTGTTAGGGGAGGGCAATTGGGGATTGGAAGGGGAGCAGTTAGATGTCGATCAGGCTGGCAGGGGAGTGATTAGGGGGTGATCAGGCTGGCAGGCAGAAGCAGTTAGGGGCAATCAGGAAGGCAGGCAGGCGAGCAGTTGGAAGCCAGCAGTCTTGGATTGTGAGAGGGCAGTCAGACATCCCCCAAGGGGTCCCAGATTTTAGAGGGTGCCAACTGGGCTGAGGGACACTCTAACCCCTACACTCCCAGTGCACAAATTTTGTGCAACGGGCATCTAGTAAATAGTATATTTTCTACAATATATATATTTGTAAATCATCATGGAATAAAACTTTTTTGTAAGGTAACTGACACTACTTTAAACTATTTGATCTAAAATCTCCCCTTCTAGGAATCTATCCAAGGTCCATACTCTGACACAGGCACAAAGATACATACAAACCTTTTGTTTGTAATAAGAAACCTAAATTTCCAACAATAGGAGAGAAAGCAATTATGATACAACCAGAAAGTAAATATGATGCAGCTGTAAAAAGAATAAAGTAGCAGGGACCGGTTTGGCTCAGTGGATAGAGCGTCGACCTGCGGACTGAAAGGTCCCGGGTTCGATTCCGGTCAAGGGCATGTACCTTGGTTGCGGGCACATCCCCAGTGGGGGGTGTGCAAGAGGCAGCTGGTCGATGTTTCTCTCTCATCGACATTTCTAACTCTCCCTCTCAATTCCTCTCTGTGTAAAATCAATAAAAATATATTAAAAAAAAAAAAAGAATAAAGTACATCTGTATATTTTAATCTAAGTTGTACTTTAATGTGTGAATAGGTGTATAAAATGCTAAGGACAACCCAGGCAGAAGACAGCCTAGTGAGCATGCTTGGGAGGGAGTGAGATTCCAGGGAGCAAATGGGATGGGAAGGACTATGCTAGAGTTTGAACTGTTTACAACTAACATGTTCACTTGTACATTTATAACCTGATATAATCTAAAGGAACAAAGTTATTTTGTTAATCATCAGAGAGTAAGTTCTAAAGTGTATGAATGATCCAATAAAGGCAAGGAAATTAATTGACCTTGAAATCTTTTTGTGAATCCTTACCTAGGAAAATTTTTTGCATTGCTTTTCAGAGAGTAAGAAAGAAGAAGAGAGGGGATGAGAGAAACATTGATGCAAGAGACACATCAACTGGTTTCCGCCCACACAAAACCTGACCAGGGGTGGGTCGTGAACCCACAACCCAAGTATGTGCCCTTGATCTGGAATGAGGATTTGAACCCACAACCATTCAGTGCAAGGGATGATGCTCTAATCACTGAGCTGCCAGGACAACCTTGAAATAAGGTATAGAGAATTAAAATAACAGTGTAAAAACTGATGATGATTCTTAGCAGCAAGGAAAATTTGAGAGTTAAATTGTGTAAATAAAAAATAAAAAAGGATAAATTATACACTCAAAGTGTAGTTTATTGGAGACTCCTAATCAAAATAATCTTCTCAACGAAAGAAGTCTGTTTAGACCTAGAGACAAATCACATGCCTTACCTCAATAATGTACTTCTCCAAAGACCTGATACTGTCAAGAGCTTCCGGATCTTGATGAATAATGACAATTTCTTTCAAAGGATACTAGGAAGAAAAGATAAAAACGAGTTCACTAGGAAACCAATCCTCACAACCAGAGAAAAATGGAATGTTAAATGTTTTAACCTAATGTCAGGTTCCAAGAATAACTAGGCTCAACTTGTATTAAGTCATCCATACCAGTACTGTAGAAATGAATAAACACTTAACGCCACTGCTGGTAGCTCTCTATACAAAGAAAATACTCAAAGACTTTATTTAGGTCTGTGCAATGTAAAATAAATAAAATTTCAAACCTTTATTGGAATAGTTTTGCGGTCACGAATCACTCGCCCAAGTTCAATCACAGACTGCATTCTAGATACTGCACTCTCGGTTTTCTTGTCAATCAATTCCTCTCTGATTAGAAGAAGCAGGGAAATAAAAGGTATTAAGTTTAAAGGGAAAAATCCCAAACAAGAGGCATGCCTACAAAAGAAAGGAGGACACGTTAAAGATAGGATGGGGTGGCTAGGCCTACTGGGCCCTTGGGGAAGGACAGTGTGTGCGGGTCTTGGGGGTACGTGGCAAGAAGTAGGCGGCAAGCTAGAGTCTCCTGGTCAGTAAGTACCCAGCTGCTTCCCATGGTGACTTTAACCACCTGCTCATAGCACACATGCTGCAGCGCTAAAAGTGGTTACCCGCTATGCATCCCCACTTCTGCCTATTCTGTACCCTCAAGAGCAGCTCAGGGGAGAGGCAGGGAACCAAGGGGCCAACTAGGGCCCCCACGCCAGTGCATATTTGGCAACGTCCCTTCCATGGTCCTGGTGAGGCTTACATAGATTTGATTCTTCTGTTTTGTTTTTTCTTGTTAATCTTCAACTGAGGATATTTTTCCCTTTGCTTTTTAGAGTGTAAGTAAGGAAGGGAGAGGCAGTGGAGAGAGAAAGAGAGAGAGAGGGAGAGGGAGAGAGACAGATACAGAGAGAAACATCGATACGAGAGATATTGCTTTCTGCACGTACCCCAACTGGGGCCAGAGATCAAACCTGGAACCGAGGGTTATGGGTGTGTTCGACATACGCTCTAACCAGGGCTATATTAGATTCTTACCGAACACGGGGCAGCATGAGGTAGTGGATGCTGAGTGTGTCCTTGTCCTGGACAGAAACAGGGTCAATCAGCATCTTAAGATTCTGGTACATCAATTCAGTGAGAAAAGGTGTATACGGGGCCTATGTAAGGACAGAAAACATCATATCATTCATATGCAACCATCATTAGCTGACTTTAGTGGAAAATGGGAACAAAACATTTCCAAGAAAAACAGATATTTGCACAGAAGTGGATATGAGGTAAATAAACATGTACTATGCAACACAAAGGACCTCATTTTGACTTTGGAGAAAGGAACTTCCTATGAAGCACAGTGGAGTACAGCCAGGACCCAAAGCATCCTGGAGGATTTCTGCAATAAAAAAAAGAGTGATTGTCCTATGTCTAGACAGGAAAGAAGAATTCCAAGTAAACAACATTAGTCTTAAAGATCTAGGAAAAAAACAAACAAAACAAAAGTAGCCCAAGTTCCAGAAGAAAATAAAAATTAGAGCAGAATAAAATGAAGTAGAGAACTAAAATACTACACAAAAAAATTAATGCAACAGCCCTAACCAGTTTGGCTCAGTGGATAGAGTGCCGGCCTGCAGACTGAAAGGTGCCAGGTTCAATTCCGGGCAAGGGCATATACCTTTTGCAGGAGGCAGCTGATTGATGTTTCTCTCTCATCAGTGTTTCTAGCTTTCTATCCTTCTCCCTTCCTCTCTGCAAAAAAAAACAATGAAATATGTATTTAAAAAAATTAATGCAATGAAGAGCTGCCTTTATATAAAAAGATTAACAAAATTGACAAATTCTGGCTACACTCATTACATAAAATAGAGAGAAATAAGCAAGATAAGAAATGAAAGAGAAGTTACCACAAACATCACAGAGGATCAAACTAAAATAGATCACCAAATTCAATAACTTGAAAGAAATGAACAAGTTGCTAGAGATATAAAACCCTCTTACACTGAATCTCAAAGAATTGGAAATGTCTAAATAGACTAACAGTGAGGAAATGGAAAGAACCATAAAAAATCTAGTGGAGAAACCAAGATGGCGGCAAAGGTAAACAACTAATCTGCCGCCTCCAACAACAATTTCAAAACTACAACTAAAAGACAAAATGTCTATCACCCAGAACCACAGGAAAGCTAGATGAATGGAGCATAAGCGCTGAAAAGCTGAAGTATGGAGGCATGTGAATCGGGCTGGTGGCGGGCGACAGGGTGCATGGCTTTTTTCAACCCAAAGGGAAACAAGCTCCCAATCACTTTGAAATCCAGTTTCTGGTGCCACGCAGGGGACCCAGATGCCTAAGAGGAGAAGCTGGTCTGTTGGCCATTGGGTCCGAAAGTGAGGGTGATTTTTTTGGAGAGGTGCGCGCAGCAATCATTGTTTACTGCGCTGGAGCGTGGGGAGTTGGAAATAAACTGCAGCTCCAATCAGACTGCTCCAAAACTGCCTAATCCCAAGCAAAGAGGAAAAAACTGTAGTTCTTGCTGTAGCTCCTGCTGGGTGGGCTGACAGTAGCTAAACTGCACTCTATTGAAGATCCAGAGAAACTAGTATATGTAGTAGTTGGTGTGGGACACCACCAGATTTCAACTACTCTTAAAAGGGACACACTCAAGAGGAAGATTCAGTGAGCACCAAAGCCCTACTGGAACAAGTCCTGCCCCATAAACATGTCTCCAGCACAGCAATTCTTCCATTATAGACAATTGGCCTGGAGGTCAATTCCTCCCAGTGACACCAACAACAATCAAGACGTAACTATAACAAGGCTGTACACAAAGTCCACAAAGGGATGCACCAAGAGTGTCCACCCCAGGTAACTGGGGAGGCCGAGCCACTGGCTCCATTAGGACACACAGCACACAAAGCTATCCTACCAACTCAAGGAAGCAGTGAAAATGAGGACACAGGGAAAAGGATCACAAATGACTGGACACAGAGTTTAAAACCACGGTTATAAGCTTTTTCAAGAATTTCCTAGATAAGGCTGGTATATTTAACAAGACCCTCAAGGATGTGAAAAAGGACCAACTAGAAATTAAACATACATTGAATGAAATAAAAAATATTATACAGAGACCCAACAGCAGACTGGAAGAACACAAGAATCAAGTGAAAGATTTGGAATACAAAGAGGCAAAGGACACTCCTCCAGAGAAGCAGAAAGAGAAAAGAATCCAGAAAATTGAAGAGAGTGTAAAAAGCTCTGAGACAACTTCAAGCAAACCAACATCAGAATTATGGGGGGTGTCAGAAGAGAGAGAGAGAGCAAGACACTGAAAACCTATTTGAAGAAATAATGACTAAAATCTTCCCCGACCTGGTGAAAGAAAAAGACTTACAAGTCCAAGAAGTGCAGAGAACCCCAAACAAAAGGAATCCAAAGAGGACCACACCAAGGCACATCGTAATTAAAATGCAAGAGCAAAAGACACAGACTGCTACAAGCAGGAAGAGAAAAACAGTTAGTTACCTACAGCTGATTTCTCAACAGAAACTATGCAGGCCAGAAGAGAGTGGCAAGAAATCCTCAAAGTGATAAATAGCAAGAAACTACAACCAAGATTACTCTACCCAGCAAAGTTATCATTCAGAATTGAAGGCCAGATAAAGAGCTTCACAGATAAGAAAAAGCTAAAGGTGTTCATCACCACCAAACCAGTATTATATGAAATGCTAAAAGGTGTTCTTTAAAAAGAGGAAAAAGAAGAAAAAAAGATAAAAATTATGAATAAATAGATCAAAAACAAACAAACAAACAAGCAAACATGTAGGTTGCTTGGTGTAAAGAAGAAAAATGATTTTTAAAGGAAACTTTCTAAAGGTGGCTTAGAAATTACTCTTGAATAAAATAGAATTTTCAAAAAAAATTATGAACAAATATATATCTATCAACAAGTCAATCTAAAAGTCAAGTGAATTAAAAATCTGAGTAACAGAATAAAGTGGTAAATATAATAGAAACAAGGGCATAAAATGGGAGAAGATTGATAATTCTCAGGTGGAAAGTGGTGTCCGAGTGGGGAGTACGTGAAGAGATTGGACAAAAATCATATACCTATGGATGAGGACGGGGTGTGGGGGGATAAGAAGCGGGAAGGTAAGGGCAGAGGATAGGGTGGGGACCGGGTGAGGGGAGCTATGGGGGGGGGGGGGAGGAGAAACAATTGTAATAATTTGAACAATAAATATTTATTAAATTAAAAAATAAATAAAAATAAAAGGGGAAAAAAATCTCCTAGTGTCCCCAGGAGGGCGTGTGTAGAAGGCAACCAATTAATGCTTCTCTCTCAGCAATGTTTCTAGCTATCTAAAAATCAATAAAAAACAGAAAATTTGGCCGGGACCGGTTTGGCTCAATGGATAGAGCGTCGGCTTGGGGACTGAAGGGCCCCGGGTTCGATTCCGGTCAAGGGCATGTACCTTGGTTGCGGGCATATCCCCAGTGGGGGGTGTGCAAGAGGCAGCTGATCAATGACTCTCTCTCATTGATGTTTCTAACTCTCTATCTCTCTCTCTTCTTCTCTGTACAAAAATCAATAAAATATATTTTAAAAAAACAAAAACAAAACAAAAAATTCGAAGAGTGAACCAAGATGGTGACTGAGGTAAATACCAGTACTTGTTGCCTCCCACAACCACATCAAAATTATAACTAAAGCCCTAGATGGTTTTGCTCAATGGTTAGAGTGTTGGCCTGGGGACTGAAGGGTCATGGGTTTGATTCCCGTCAAGGGCACATGCCTGAGTTGTAGGCTCAATCCCCAGTAGGGGATGTGGAGGAGGCGGCTGATCAATGATTCCCTCTCATCATTGATATTTCTATCTCTCCCTCTCTCTCTCTCTCTCCCTTCTATGAAATAAAAATTAAAAAACAACAACAAGGAATAATAAACATGATTTAAATACATAATATAAAATACAAAACATCATCATTTAGACCCAGTCGAGATCTGGCTGAATGGAAGTCCCGCAACTACAGAAGTAAATAAAAAAGCACATGCCACACACCAGATCACTCAGTCTAGGTTTCCAGTACTGGGAAGAGAAGTCCCCACAATTTTAGGATATAAAAACCAGCAGAGATTGAGGTTAAGTGGCATGGAGTCCCAGCAGTTCCTCTTAAAGGGACGATACACAGACATATTCAGACTCACTCCCTCTTAGCTCCAGCGCTGGGGCAGTGGCCTGGGGGGATCCAGGGACATAGGGGAAGGAAATGGATTGTCTGGCAGCAGAGCAAGAACTAGAATGTGGCTTTCTCCCAGAAAGGGATGCTCATAGCGTTCATGGTTCCCATGCTGAGCCCGTCCCCCTAACACTTCCTGTCTCAGAGCTGACTGACTGGTGTCATATCTGAGTCTCCATCAACCTTGCTTATATTGCTCCACCCTGGCGATTTTAAAACCCCATCCCACCCAGGTTGTTTGTAGTGACTTTTCCATATGAATGGCCTGTCCTTGCTCAGGCTTCAGTCTTTCCTAAAATAGCTAAAACAAGCAGAAGCTGGCATCAGCATGCTCCATACCTCTTAATAAGAAGCCCAAGATGCAGCACTAGCAGCAGCCTGCCTTGCTTTACAGCTGGGCTTTGTCTGGGCACCTCCAAGCCCAATACAAATAGCAGCCCAATACAAAAAGGCTAAATCAACTTAATCTTTTATATATACAGAATAAACTTGTTTAATTAGACCTGCTTTCTGATGTAGCTAAATTTTTCCCAGCCCAGTGAGGCACCCCAACTTCTCTTTCAGGTAATTGTCAATAACACAGCAGTAAATATCAACACCAAGCAGATTATTATTGTAGATCACGCACGGAGAACAAAAGGTAAAATATTTAACTGCAGCTATGTTTACTATATTCTGTGCAGTGAGAAAACCTGAAGTTATTTTCAAGATCCACCATTTCTTCCTTCTTTTCAATCAGGTTTCTAAACTTTCTAAGTTTCTGCTTTCTGGCTAATGAAAAGAAAATAGAATCCCACCAAGTCTCCTTTATACCTATACCAGGACTTCTGTGAAGATCAAATGAGATGAAGCATGGGAAAACTCTTCACAGACATTTAGAGTTTGAAATGTTTGCACCTGGCTATAAAGCAAGCTGTGTTACTGAGCAGAAGAAACTGCAAGGAGGCTAGTCATCACTAGGGAAAGGAAGCCAGGCATTGCTATGTGATATCATTACCCAATGCCCACACCAACCATTTCCGAGTTTTGCTGTGGGCTGCATTTTGTGCATGGAGTCTTGGCAGCATCAGCTGTGATTTGGTGGTCTGTCGCTCTGGGGTGGTGGTGTGGCCTGTGTCCTACTTGGGAGAAACCAAGTGTTGCTTTGTGGGCACCAGGTCCACGGTGCCATTTCTCTTTAAATGGCCAGTCCATTGAGCATCTGACCTCTGGTGGTCAGTGTGCTTCATAGCAATCAGTCAGATAATTAGCATAAAAGCCTATTATGCTAAGTGTCTGGTCATCAATTTAACCAATCAAAGAAGGCCACTCAACTGCTCTATATGACATGCACTGACCACCAGGGGGACAAACAGTCAACTGGTCAACCAATCACTATAATATTCACTGACCATTAGGGGTCAGACACTCCGACTGGTAAGTTAGCTTGCTGCTGGGGTCTGGCTGATTGGGACTGAGCAAGATGGCCGGACATGCCCTGGAGCCCTTCCCTGATCCCTCCCTGGATGGCCAACCTCCCACATCTCTACCCAGCCCTGATTGTGGGGTCCCTCAGCCTGGCCTGCATCCTCTTATAATCCGGGAACCCTAGGGGGATTTTAAAGAGTCAATTACGGCATGATTCCTAAGGCATAAAAGGCTAATATTGACCAGTCGCTACGATGTGCACTGACCACCAGGGGGCAACACTCAATGTAGGAGCTGTTCCCTGGTGGTCAGTGCACGCCCACAGGGGGAGCACCACTTGGCCAGAAGCTGGGCTCACAGCAGGCGAGCAAAGTAGCAGTGGTCGGAGCCTCTCCACCTCTGTGGCAATCGGACATCCCCCGAAGGCTCCCAGATTGCAAGAGGGCACAGGTCAGTGCACCAGACCTCTAGTATGAAATAGTAATGAAGTCCTAGCCAGAATAATCAGGCAAGAGAAAGAAATAAAAGGCAAGAGAAATAAAATAAAAGGCATCTAATTTGGGAATGAAGAAGTAAAGTGCCACCATTTGCAGATGGCATGATTCTTTATATAGAAAACTCTAAAGACACCACCAAAAAACTATTAGACACAATAAACAATAACAGTAAGTGGCAGGATACAAAGTTAATATATAAAAATACACTGCTCTGCTTTCGTATATACTAACAATGAGATTTCAAAAATAAACTAAAAAAAATCTTTTTGCAATTGCAACAAAAAGAGTAGAATACCTGGGAATAAATTGAACAAAGGGTGTGAAGAGCCTGTACACTGAAAATTGCAGTTTGAAAAAGACACAGTAAACTGGAAAGGTATTCCATATTTATGAACTGGAAGAATTACAACAGTTACAATAGATATATTATCCAAAGCAATATACAGATTTAATGCAATTGCCCATCAAAATCCCTATGGCACTTAAGAAATAGGACACAAAATCATCACATTTGTATTGAACCACAAAAGACCCCAAACACCCAAAACAATTCTGAGAAAAAAGAACAAAACTGAAGGTATCAAATTCCCTGACTTCACATTATGCAAAGCAACAATAATAAAAACAGCATGATAATAGCAGAAAAGCAGACACGAAATTCAAGGAAATAGAATCACGAGCTGAGCCCAGAAACAAACCCACATGTATGTGGGCAAATGATTTTTGCAAAGGAACTCAAAACATACAATGGGGGGAAAAAGACTTTTTAATAAATGATGCTGGGGACATTAGAAAGCCAAATGCAAAAGAAGCAAGCTAGTGTTTATCCATATATATTAAAACTTAGGTACTAAATTATGGACCTTGGTCTTACAGAGAATTCTATGACTTTGATGCCAAAAGTAAGGGAAGTAAAAGCAAAAATAAATGAATAGGACTGTATCAAACTAAAAACTTCTAAACAGCAAGACACCATGAACAACAACAAAAACAAACAATAAAAGAATAGGAGAAAATATTTGCAAACAATAGCTCTGACAAGCACTTAATATCCAAAATATATTAAGAACACAACACTGAAGAAATAATCCAATTACAAAAGGGGCAGAAACCTGGACACTTCTCCCAAGAAGACATAGAAATGGCCAACAGATATATGAAAAGATGCTCAACTGCATCAGCTATTAGAAAAATGTGAATCAAAACTAGAATGAGATACCGCCTCACACTTCTTAGAATGTTATAATCAATAAGAAAGCAATAACAAGTGTTGAAGAGGTTAGGAAAAAAAAAAATCATTCATTGTTGATGGGAATGTAAACTGTTACAGCAAATATGAAAAACAGAAACAGTATGGAGGTTCTTCAAATTTGTTAAGAATAATTACTATATAATCAACAACCCCATTCTGGTATCTAGTGGAAAAATTTGAAAACATTTATTTGCAAAGATATATGCATCCCTAGGTTCTATGTAGCAGATTCATGGTGGACAAGACATTAAAACAACCAAAGTGTCCGATGAATGACTGGATCAAGGATGTGGTACATATATAAAATGGAATACTACTCGGCTGGAAGATGAAAACTGTCACTTGTAACAACATGGATGGATCTTGAGAGTATCATGGAAGCAAAATTAAGTCAGACAGAAAAATCTAAAACCATATGATTTCACTCATATGTGGGATATAAAATCGAAAACAACTGAACAAACAAGAAAAATAAAAACTCACAGACACGGGTAACTATATAGTTGTCACTGGAGGAAAGGGGGTAAGAAGGGAGGTATCAAATAGACGGTGACAGAAGATTTGACTGGGTGGTGAGCACACAGTGGAATATACAGATAGGATGTGTCATAAAACTGTACACTTGAAATCTGTATGGTTTTAATAATCAACGTCACCCCTGTAAATTAATTAACAACAACAACAACAAAAAGGAGTCACTGACCAGGTATTAGCAAAGGCAATATAAAAAGAACTCAATATCTCCAAAAGTTAGAACCTTATCTTCAACCTGGAAGAATACAACCTGCCTCATAGGGTAAAATGAATGAGAATAGATGTGCAGGACCAGGCAGGAAACATCACACAATGCAGGCTCTCATTCTGTGTGTGTTTAGGAAATATACAGAAGGCTTATAATTGACAATGGAGTAGCCTAAATAGGATATGAGGAATTAAAACAAGTACAAATATACTGTATATTACTTAATTAATATTTTAATTGGTAGGAATACGTGTCAAGTAAAATACTGTTTGTAATATGTTTGGCGAGATATTAGTTCAAGAACTTCACTGTTACAATGATAGTGAAGAAGTGGTCTGATGTTTAGGGGGAACTTAGGCAATTCAATCTAGATGCGAGAACCTGAAACATACTCCAGTGGTGAAAAGAAAAAATATCCAATTATTTTCTAGTATTGACTTTTCACTACCTATACTTTAATTTTCCCATCACCATTTATCCCCCTTATACTCTTCTTCCACTTCCCCATCACTCTCCCCCTGAAATCACCACAAAAATCCAACTTTGAAACTATTGCTTAGTCCTTACTTAACACATGAAAGATTTCTGAAAAGGAAATAGAGATTTAAGTTGCTTTAAAACTCAATTTCTATTTCTGGTGGACCAATAAGGAACAAAGACAGAAGACACTAAAGCATCAGGGCACAGTGAGCAGCCCCAGGACCAGTCGGAACGGGGCCAAGAATCTTACCATCAGTCTGCACAGGGAAAGCAGAACACTGAACAAAGTTTCCAGAGCCCTCACACAATCCTCCATCCCGTTTTCACCCTGGTGGATGAAAAAGAGACACATGCTGAACTGTTAAAACCAAGTAAGAAATTTACTAAAAAGATAATCCAGCCCTAGCTGGTTTGGCTCAATGGATATAGCATTGGTCTAAGGACTGAAGGGTCCTGGATTCGCTTTGGTCAAGAGCACATATACATTGATAGAAATCTAGTACCCCTCAGGGGATGTCAGAGAGCCGGTTTTGGCTTGATCCCTGCAGGCCAGGTCTAGGGACCTACTGGTGCATGAATCCATGCACTGGGCCTCTAGCATGCATATAAGATCTTTAATTAATCTCTTCCCTCCTTCCTCCTCCTCCCCTTTGAGATCCACCAGTCTGTTCCATGTTTCTATGCCTGTGCTTTTGAGCATCTGTCCCCAATGGTCATTGCTATCAGATGAAGAGTCACTTAGGCTTTTATATATATAGACAGAAGATTGTTTATGAATGGCTTAAGTCTTGAGACAGGACTTATTTTTCACTCATTAAAGTCCCCAAGATGCTCAAGGAAGAGTTTTATTAGTCACTGACACTCTGGAGATCACAGTTGTATGACATTTGAAAATATTGGCAAAACTTGTTTTGGGTTTTAAGAGGTATGCTTAGTTGACTCCTCCATGGCCCTGAGCCTCCCTCCAATATGGCATGTCCATAACTGTGTTCTGAAAATATGCACCATGACTTTTAAAATTTATAGGTCCCTATCCATCAAATGGCGATAAATAGAGTTAATATGCAATGTAAAATTAAAAAATTGCGTCAAAATATTACGGCATTAGGCTGTACTCATTTTCACACTTCCTGCTCTTCTGAAAAACAGCCTGGCCTTACCTTTAATCTTCGGCGGTTCATCCTGACATACCAATTGGTCAGAACGTCGACAAACTTGACCAGGCGGGGTACCACAGTATAAAGCCTGTAAGCTAAAAGTAAGAGCAATCAATCAGGAACTGAGAATAGACTGAGCATTTGGGATACTTGGGGAAGGAATGAACACAAGAATGAGTAGCCCTGTCATCCAAGGGTCCCCATGCTTGTTGAGACAGAAAGGAACAAAGGGAAGCAATGACCATAAAGTGTCTTGGGGCACACACAACTGCACTGTGAGCCACTGTCAGAGAGAGGATATGCTGTATGTGTGGACAAGAGGCCAACACTGCCCAGCACACGACACCAGGAGACAGGTTTACCTGGAGATGTGCTGTTCTGTACATCAACCAAGACTGACACTCAGAAAGTCCTAATTAGATGTTAAAGGGCATAGCATAGGTCAGCATTTCTCAACCAGAGCCACTCTGTCCCACAGGGGACACTGGCAATGCCTGGAGACGTCCTTGTCATAATTGAACATGTGGGTGCTCCATGCATCTTGCTAAGGGACCCTAGGGATACCTGCTGCTCAACATCATATAACACACAGCCCAGCCCCACCAGAGAACCCACAAGCACAAGCTATCCTTCATGAAGCCACTGAGAAACTTAGCAAGAACCATGAATAAAATAGAATCGGCTTTCTGAACATCAAAATATGAACATACTTCATTTTACTGTATTTATTGCGTTCAGATTTTTTAAAATACAAACCAAAGTTAATCAGCACCATTTTTCCAACATCATTTGTTTGCTTGTGTCTGGCTTGGTTCTTTCAATATTTCAAACTATTTCATTACTATATTTGTTATGATGATCTTTGGTCAGTGGTCATTGATGTTACTATTACAACTGTTTTGGGGTACCACGAATTATCCCCACAAAGCATTTCAAACTCAATCGATATGTGTTGTGTGTTCCAATTGCTCCAATGATTGGCCATTCCCCTCTCTCTCTCCTGCTCCTCAGGCCTCTCCACTTCCTGAGATACAACAACACTGAAATTAGGGCAATTAATAAAACTACAATGGCCTCCAAGTGCTCAAGTGAAAGAAGAGCCGCACAATTACTCCTGGTGAAGATGCTGTGAAGACTGTTATAATGACAACAAAGGATTTAGAGTATTACATAAACTTAGTTGGTGAAGCAGCAACAGGGTGTGAAACTGACTCTAATTTTCAAAGAATGTCTACTGTGGGTAAAATACTATCAAACAGCATTCCATGCTATAGAGAAACTGCTCACGAAAGAAAAAGTCAACTTTTTTGCAGCAAACTTCATTGTTGCAGCAAACTTCATTGTTGGCCAATTAAAAAAATTTTTTTTGACACAGCTACCACCACCCTGATCACTGAGCAGGAATAAAGATGAAGGAAAGATTGCTAAAACTGGTTTGGCTCAGTGGTTAGTGTGTCGGCCTGCGGACTGAGGGGTCCCAGATTTGACTGTGGTCAAGGGCATGTACCTTGGTTGCGGGCACATCCCCAGTAGGGGCTGTGCAGGAGGGAGCTGGTCGATGTTTCTCTCTCATCGAGTTTCTAGCTTTCTATCCCTCTCCCTTCCTCTCTGTAAAAAATCAATAAAATACATATTTTTTTTTAAAAAGAAACAAGTGTCATTAAAAATATGAGCAAAATTAAGAAAAAGTTAATTTAAAAAATAAAAGAAAGAGGACTAAGTTATTCTTAGTGTTCTTTACACTTTTCATCTTCTAGGAAGCCATCACAACCTACTTTCTATATTCAGGTTTTAGCTTAGAAAGATGAAGCCCATATGGAATGAGCACACAATAAACAGCAGCAGTAGCAAGTATCGCTGAGATCACTATAAAAGTGTCATGCTTCAAGGATGCTACTTCAAACTCTGTTCACGAGGGGGCTGAGGGCACAAGCTGACCTTTCACACCTGGCTTTTCCTTACCACTAAGCTGATGTGCATAAGCTGCCTAACCTACGCACCCAGTCAGACTGGGCACACTCTTCAGGAGGGCACAGCTGTCTAAAGATGCAGAAGCGCCAAGCAATAAGCCCCAGCAGGGCTTTCCTCCCATTCACATCACTCAGGAGGAAGTGAGCATGGCTGTGAGCCCGTGTCCTGGGAGCCTGGTGAAATCCCACTCAGTAATCTGCTTCCCATACTCATTTCCATCATCACTTCTGTCCAACAGCTTGGCAGTCATATGATCCTATGTTTAAAGGGGCAGACATGGTCCGTCAGGATGACTGGTGAGCGTGTGGAAATTCCTGGGCTCACTGTCCTTTGTGCCAGGATTAAAGGCACCTACTCCAGAGGAGAAATGCACCAGCTGAGGACGGCAGGCCTCTGTCTGCACCAAAAGGTGGCTCTTCTCCTTGAATCCCTAAGCACTGAACCTGCACGGCAGCCCCTGGCACCAACAGGTGCTAAGGAAGGCAGGTCAACCTTGCTAAGGCGTGCAGCACTGGGAAGCCCACCCACTTTATCAGACCCACCCATCTCAAGTATCTGAGTTAATGCTTTCTAGAATTTTCCACCCTGACTTCTGGTTGTTCCATCTCCAACCTCGAGGAAACCATCATAACCTACCTCCCAACCGCTATACAAACCAAATTCATTGCTGTATGTAATAGAAATATAGGAAAATGTGTACTTCAGTACTGCTTTCCTGTATTTCCTAATTTTTGTAGACTACTTCATTTAATAAAGTAGACTTGACAATAAACAGAAATTTAAAAGCTGAAACCGGTTTGGCTCAATGGATAGAGCGTCAACCTGCGGACTGAAGGGTCTCAGGTTCGATTCCAATTAAGAGCATGTACCTTGGTTGCAGGCACATCCCCAGGGTGTGCGGGAGGCAGCTGATATTTCTCATAGATATTTCTGGCTCTCTATCTCTCACCCTTTCTCTCTGTATAAAAAGCAATAAAATATATATTTTTTATTTTTATTTTATTTTTAAATATATTTTATTGATTTTTTACAGAGAGGAAGGGAGAGAGATAGAGAGCTAGAAACGTCAATGAGAGAGAAACAAAGCCCCTTGCACACCCCCCTCCGGAGATGTGCCCGCAACCAATGTACATGCCCTTGACTGGAATTGAACCCGGGACCTTTCAGTCCGCAGACCGACGCTCCACCACTGAGCCAAACCGGTTTCGGTAAAATATATATTTTTTAAAAAGAAATTTAAAAAATCTATAAACATAAAAGGCTGAGCAACCTCCCAACTGGTAGCTATGAGAGTGATCACCAGGGGGCAGACACTCTGATTGGTAGCTATGATGTCCACTAACCACCAGCAGGCAGCAGCTCAACACAAGAGCTGCTGAGTTGAGGTGACTTGGCAGCGGGGTTCTCGGGTGATGCACCCATAGAGGAGGTAGCCTGATTCTGGGGTGCATGATCTGAGAACCACCCTTTTACAATCTGGGACCCCTCATGGAATGTCGGAGAGCTGGTTTTGGCCCGATTCCCGCAGGCCAGACTGAAGGACCCTACCTGCCAGAGGGACCCTACTCACTACGCAGACTCCTTCTGAGCCGCAGGTGCCACCCCAGGTGTAGTCGGCCAGGGAGGAACTGCTGGAGGTTGGCTCCAAGGAGTATCCAGCCTGTTTAGCCCAGTCTGGCCCTGCCGACCATCTTCTAATTAATTTCCTTTCAATGTGCATGCATCTGTGCACCAGAGCACTAGTAACAAAATAAAGGACCTACTAACAAGTACTACTTAGTGAGTACCTACTACCTACCAGCTACTTGATGTACATGATCTCTATTAGAGCATTAGAATAACTCTAACCAGGTGTTTTTCACAAAGAAACTAGGGGACAGGCACAGAGTCACCCAGCACTGAGCCTGTGAAGGGATGAAGCCACTGGACATCCTTGGAACAGCATCTTCTATAACTAGCCTGGACAAAATTATATTTAAGTGCTGAAAGAAATAACTATTTATCCACTATTTATCTCTTAAAATTTACATAAAATATCCTTTGTTTGTAAATGAAAAGTTAAAGAGCAGTCATAAAGATTGAGTCCTTAGTCCCTGGGAGGAGGGTCAAAGAGAGACACACCTGCCATTTCAGTCTCAAAGAAGGCAATGAGCGACTGCATGAAGGACAGGACCCACCGGTCTGTGATGTTGGCACTTTCTTTAACCGTGTTCTCATTGTAGAGGAATTCCATTTCTTCCTCCTAGGAATTGACAATTATTGAAATATTCTGTTTGCTTAGGGAAATTCATGTGAAGCAATGAGCTGTTTAAGCACTTAAACTGAAATAGCCAATACCACGCCCTGCCTACCCCAATCCAGGCCCATTGGCAATCTAAATTTCTAATTTCCAATAGTATTTTCAGGATAAGCTCTAAACTTGGGATATTAAGTCCTCAATTAATAAATTACATTTTTGAGAGGAGAATTTGGGAAAATAATTACTCTTCTGCAGCAAAGAATGAGTATGAATTGAGAAACATTCTAAAATATTGTCAATAACTATATAATTACTTTAAATCTGAGGAAGGAAAGACAGTAAAATTTGCAAGCTCTGGATGACTGTCTACAAATTAAAAATGAGCACTAAGAATTAATGTCTCAGCTTATATTATTAATTTTACCTAGAATGTTTTATTTCACCTGATTTCCCTTTGCAAAATCTTCCTCAATTGTGAAGGCCCACCTCATCTGTCCCTACACACACAGTGTCACCACCAGTGGCAGAATGGTGGTAATGCTAATCCTTGCCCAAATTTATGCGCCTGATGGTAGAGCCGGTGTCTTGCTGCCATGCCCAGACCAGGGTCCACACCGACAGAGATTGCAACGTGGACCTGCCTAAGAACTGTGGGCCCAAAAAGGTGGTTGGAACAAAAAGCCAGGAGCAAGAGGGACAGTGGAAAATGGCTGCCTTTCTCAAACATAGGGGAAAATGGCGCCTGGGAAGCTTTATTCAGACCTAGAAAAGCAAGAAGCAGAAGTTGCTAGTCAACAGTAACTTACTAAGCATTCTACTTGTAAGATGCTGGAGGTAAAAAGATCAGTGGTCTTAGGCCCTAACCCCAATGGAGTCCTGGAAGTGCAGACTTCTCCCAGAATGCTGCTGGGCAGCAGGACATACTTGGAAGGCACTTGCATATACATCACAATCATTACTTTAAGTCCTAAGACCCCAATGAAATTTCTTTCACTCACGAGTATCAGCCCATAGGCACCCATTGAGGGCCTTTACTCGGAGACAGTATATGACCCTTTACTGGCTCTGCCATACCCTACCCTCACTGGTCCCACGAAGAGAGGGGAACTGGCTAGCTAAATGAATATCCAATGCAACTCTTCTACAGGGGAGGCTGCTGTTTGCTACAAGGGCCCCAGATAACTTCACCAATGGCCTCCCAAGAGTCTCGGACCCTCCACATCATAGGGACTGTGCAAACCCAGCTCAACCCAGCTGGAAAGGCAGAGCTCGACCACAGCACCGCAGTCCACACCTTTTGCAGCCTCAGGACATTCTGGATGAAGAAGCGATAGGCGTTGTACCAAGGGAGTAGCACGTCCTTCAGAACATCACGAACACCTTCCTCCTTAAAGCGGAGGTTTTCCGCTCTCACCACAGGGGAGTTAATCAGATACAATCTGGAAGAGAAAAATCACACCAAAAAGAAACATAGATAGCCAACTATTATTACGTGACATTTGACAGGGCAACACCAAAATTGCCATTTCTTCTACAAAAGGGGTACTTATGAATAATCTTCTCATGGTCTATTTTAAACTGATAAAACTCTTACTGTTACATGCATGGGGCCATGCACATTATAAAAGGAGATATAAGCCCAGTACAGGCCACTGGTGGTGGGTGTAGCAGAACCCAAAGGCGGTGGCCAGGCCCTCCTCCCAGGACAATGCAGGCACCAAAAACTCACACAGGAGCAGCTGTGTATGTTCTGCCAGGGCAGATGGCTGGAGGGCTTTTTTTTTTTTTTAAATATATTTTATTGATTTTTCAGAGAGAGGAAGGGAAAGAGATAGAGAGCTAGAAACATCGATGAGAGAGAATCATCGACCAGCTGCCTCCTGCACACCCCCCAATAGGGATGTGCCTGCAACCAACATACATGCCCTTGACCGGAATTGAACCTGGGACCTTTCAGTCCGCAGGTCGACGCTCTAACCACTGAGCTAAACCGGTTTTGGCTGGAAGGCTTTTAATTTGAACACTTAATGATCTCTAGATTTGAAAATGTCATCATTATTTTAAAAACCACTTTGGGGGGAGTTTGAGTCAACATCATACAAATTTAGCTCCCTCTGTAGCAAAGATTAATAGGAGGAAGTGAGCATGGCTGTGAAACAGGGTGTGAAATTTGCTTTTTAAAAAGCAAATTCTAAACCACATCTAAGAAACATGACTAACAGAATGAGAAATGCTTACATAAAAATGACAAACATACCCTAGCAGGTCTGGCTCAGTGAACAGAGCATCAGCCTGTGGACCAAAGGGTCCAGGCTTTGACTTCGGTCAAAGGCATGTACCTTGGTTAAGGGCATGTACCTTGGTTGCAGGTTCCTCTCTGGCCCCGACCCTGGTCAGGGCTCCTGCAGGAGGCAACCAATCGATGGTTTCTCTCACATCAATGTTTCTCTCACTCTCCCTCTCTCTAAAAATCAATGGAAATATATCCGCAGGTGAGGACTAACAAAAACAAACAAACAAACAAACAAACAAAAATAAATAGATGTGATTAAATGTAAAAAAAAGAAAGAAAAGAAAAGAAAAAGACGACAAACACACGGGGCAAAGCATGGGCGTTTACCTGAGGGCGTCAGCACCATATTTATGAATGATGGAAAGTGGATCTGGATAATTCTTTTTTCGTTTGCTCATTTTCTGGCCATCACTTGAAAAACAAAAGTCAATGTCACAGTTTACCTTTATATATGGTTACAGCTATTTTCAACTGGAGCACATAAGTGCAAAGGGCATACAGCCAATGTTAAGTACAACAAGCTGTCTGTCAGTATCTTTTCAAATACTGTGTTGAGTCAACAGAGAAGTTTCAGGAGAAATAAAGGAAGACATTATAGTGGAACAGTTAAAAATACAGATGAGGCATTTACCTTACAGAAATGAAAATCTATAAACCTTACAACAAAGTTGACAGCTTTATTCATTGTCAACAAACACTGGAAACAACTCACTTGAGCAGGTGAAGAGTCAAACACTGGGTCACCCATATGCTCGTCAAAGAAAAGGAAGGAGCCACAGATACACAAGCCCCGGCACCCTCCAGGGAGTAACACTGAGCAGAAAAGCCAATCTCAAAAAGTTACACGTGGTAGGAATCTATTTACACAACAGACTTGAAATGACACCATTTCAGAGATGGAGAACTGATCAGTGGTTTGCCAGGGGTTGGGGAGGAGGCTGAAAGGGCAAAAGGATATGGGTGTAGTAGTGAAAAGGCAACAAAGGGACCGTGAGATGTTCAAAGGGTTAAATATCTTGGCTGTGCTGGTGGATAAAGGAATCTACATGTGATAAAGCTATATGCAACTAAACACACACAAATCAGTACACGTAAAATGGGGAAACCTGACTAGGATTGGTGGATTGCATCAACGTCCTGGTTGTGATCATGTATTATAGTTTTAAAAAATGTGACCACGAGGGGAAGGAAACTGGGAAAACTCAAAAGGTGCCTCTGTTATTTTTCACAATTGCATGCAAATCTACAATTCAATAAAATTTTCAACTTAAAATGTGAAAAAGCACAGCCAGTACAGCCAGACTGCCTGGGTACTTGAATTTACCACTTATTTATTGTGTGACTTTGGGCAAGTTAGTTACTTTTCCTGAACTTCAATTCCTCAAATGTCAGAAGAACTCTGCAGGTTAAGTGTGCGAAGATGTGTAATAGCTCACAAAAGGGCCTACTGCCACCCCCCTCACTGCACATAAAGCTGGGCACCTATGTGAACATTCTTAATTTCTTATTTTTATTTGTTTCACTTTTAATAACAAGGAAGAATAGGGAAAAGAAGAGTAAGACTCCTGTGCAATACTAGAAACCTCTATAACCCATTAATTTCATCATGTTAAAAAGACAACAAAAATCTATATTAAAGGACCAGTGTATAGATTAAATTATGAGCTATAAGCAAAAGAGCTTCATGAAATTTTAAACACACACACACATCATTTTATCACTAAAAGATCCCAGAAAAGACCTCCGCTTCCATTAGGCTGAGTACTCAACCCAGCCCCGCTTCCTAAGACAAAGGGGAGTGGGCGGAGACAGAATGCAAAAGATGGACAAGTGCACAGGACAGGAGTTGGATGAAAAGTACAGAAAAAATATAAAAAGCAGAGAGGAAATAGTAGGAACAGAATTGGGGCATTCCTGAATTCCTCTATTCCCAAAGGATGATTAAGGAACGGAGAACGTCGTCATTACACAGGAGTGCACCTGCCTTGCAAGGACGAGCCCATTCACAATCACATTCCTGAAAGGTGGTTGTCCAAAGAGAGCTGTGGCCAGCACTAGCAGAGTATAAAACCTGGAAAAAATAACACAAAGAAAGAGTTAAGAAACAAAACAAGAAAAGAAATCCAACATAAGGAAAAACTATGTTTACTTTGTTGAACTGAATTTCTATTTTGGATCTGTAACACTTCTTGATAAGCACATAAAGCAAAGGTTCTTAATTTTGGTAACTTATTAAATCATGTCAGGATCACTGGAAAAAATTATACCCAGGACCCACTGCAGAACAGGTCCTGATCAGAAAATGAACTGTGTTACTGAGAGCGAACAAAGGCCTGGAGCCAGGTGCTGGCCAGCAGAGGACAGCACGAGCCCTCTCCTCGGGAAGCCAGCCGGACAGCTAAGAGGCAGAGGTCAGAGAGGAGAGGTCTCTCAGGACCGCCCCAAAATACAAAACTGAAAATCAAGAATCAAGAGATATCACCTTTAGCACAGGGCCATATGAGACAGTCTTATGACAAAAAACAAACCAGCCCCTCTCCCCCAAAAGCAACATATCTCTCATTCAAACGTCAAAAGATAGACAACAGGAGCAGAGAGAGTATGTATTCTGTCAGTCAGATACCAAATATGTTGTTTATTTTGCTTGCTAGATTGTTTCCTAAAAGGACTGCGTCACATCCCTGTAAGCTGTCCCGATAAGTGAGGCTCGTGTCACCTCTAAGCGGATTTGCACTCCAAGAAGATCCCAGGACATGAGCAGATGAGGCTGGAGACCAGACCCCTGGCTACATGAGCAACCGACAGGACATCCCATTCCCTAAGGACTGCTACCAGCTGCCAGATGCCACCACTCCTCTGAGAAACTCCCTGGGAAGAGGAGTTGTGCCTGGGACAGTTCCTACAGGTACATGGATTGGAAGTTGAAAACAGCACATCCCGAAACATCAGGCTGGAATTTAATCAGTTTGTGATGACTAATGCAATTTGTAAAAAGCAGAAACCACCACCAAAATTCCTTAAACACTCCTGTAAAAGCATTACTAATGAAAATATAATTAGAACCTGGACCAACCAAGATCATCAACAAAAAGAAGGTAACTAAACTTTTTTGTAATTAAGAGGGCAAGGGTATGGCTTTAAATAAGACACCAGGTAAAACCAATACCCAAATTCTCTCCCCATGATCTTTTAAATTCTAGATGTTTTAGAATGTTAATTTTGTAAAGCTAGTCTAACATCTAAGCATATTTCCAAACATCCCTTTTTCATTTGTAGTATCCCACTCTTTATCCTGTATTTACTAGAAAATACTCATTACACATTTGAGTAAAGGTGTACTGAGAAGTACACAGCTATGATCACCACACATGGTTTTATCACTTAGTTCCAGTGAAACAAATCTCTATACTCCAAGGTATCAGTGATATCAGTGAAATAACTGCAACTCTAAAACTACAGCCTCCCATGGGGAGAGACACCTACTCAAGACGCTAACGGGCTGCTTGGTATAAGGAGCCGTGGGCAGAAGAGCCTCTCTCCCTGACACAGTCTTCCCTGCACACAGCTGATAAAGACCATGTGCTCAGTAAATTAGTTTCTAAATAAAATGAAATCAACAAAACACTTAAAAGAACAAGAAACATACCATCCTCTGGTTTGATCAATGCCTTCAGCAATGAAGTCTGCAGGAAATGCATCTTCAAACTCCTTCTTATTTTCAAAAGGATAATGAACTTGAGCATAGGGCATGCTGCCACTCTCAAACCAACAGTCAAACACTTCAGAGATGCGACGCAGCAATCCCTTCCCACAGCGTGAAGGGATGGTCAGATGGTCAATGCTAATAAACAAAAACGTGTTAAGCACAACAGAACTTGCAGTTTAATTGCCAGTAGGAAACACAATCTCCTGAAAGCTCTTCATGTGAATAAAAATACCGCAATTCTCATAGGCTTTCAGAGAGCACCCACAGTGCTCCACCTCAAGGACTGAAGCCACTATTCCTCATTATGATACAAGTTATCAACAATGTACTTCAGCAAACTAGTTTGACTTCTATATGCAGCTCTTGTATCTGCTAGAGAGACCACATCTTAACACATTGAGGACAGACCATGAGAATTCTCATTTCACATGATACAGTGCTTTACAAAGTATCATACTTTAAAAGGATATTAGCTTGTAAGAACATGTAATAAGTAACTTCAAAATGCAATGGGCATTTAATGTTAAAGCGCGCCTTTAACATTTACATAAAATGTTTTTTGTACTCGTTCAATAGAAACTTATCTGGCCACTGGGTGAAGCTAGCAATAAAACTATGGTCTGCAATGTGTTAATAGGCTAAACCTAGGCCAAAGCTCTTAATGATAGAACTGACATGAATCACACACTTAGAAACTGACCTCTCTCTGTGGAGATCTGAGATCTTTGTTCCCGACAGTTCTTCAAGTTCTGCCATTGACCCAATGCATACTATCTGTCAAAACAAAGTTAAAAAGCAAGAGTGCCAGAGAGGCAAGGATCACAGTTTATCTCTGTAGCATTCGTGTTTAGTTTAGAAACCACTGATCTTCAGGACTAACCACCAACATGGCTACCCCCAGGAAAGACAGGTCTGAGGAAGTGAGCAGATTTCCCTTCCTTGCTACCGACCACAGATTAGAGGAGGCTCTACACGGAGATTTTAAACATTCACAGCCATCATCTCAACAAGCATTTTTTGAGGGTTTACTGTGTCAAAATGGTTGCAAAAATGACCAGCAGACTTGAAATGCCTAGAATAGTTGTCAGCAAATTCATTAGTCAACAGAGCCAAATATCTACAGTATTATATAATGATTGAAATTTCTTTGGGAAGCCAAATTTTTTAAACTTAAACTTGTAATGCCACTTCTTCAAAATAGACTTGTCAGGTCGTGGTATTTTGTGGAAGAGCCAGGCTCAAGGGCCAAAGAGCCGCATGTGGCTCTCGAGCCTCGGATTGTCGACTATGGTCCTAGACTATTCTCTAAGGCATCATAGTTTCTAACTAGCTTTTGACTTTGATTCTTTAACCTGGAACCTTCTGAAGTGAACGCTAGAAGTAAATTACTGTTCTGAGTCAAAATAGTGAGTCCTATTGCAAGATGTTAGAATTATGTCTGGGTAAGGAAGCTGAGATCGGCCCTGCGAGGCACTGCCACGGGAAGCCATCTGACAGGGGCTGCGGGGGCGTCTCCGCTCTCTGGGAGCACCTGGCCTCTTTGCCCGCCCATCCTGACTGGTCCTGAAAGCCTTGACGCAGCCTCACTGGACATTCACTGATATCCCTGGACTGCTGTGGCTCTAATGCTCTCAGCTTTCAGTGATGGACAGAGAGCCTCACCTGAAGTCCGACATATATAACAACATTTACATAGACCTACACTCAAATAGAATCCCTCGGTTTTATCAGGTAAGGGTCTGGAATGCTTAGGTAATATTTTTTTGTCTTCCTTTTTCATCACTCTAAGTTGGACTTAACATGCTATGACTTAGTGCAGATTATCTGTTCTGTTCATAAATAACTCACAAGAGGAAACAGAGATATGAGCAACACAAACAATTTAATGTGTGGCTTCCCTGAGAAAAATGCAAGTTATATTCACTTTTACACAAAGGGAAATTGTTAAAAATAGCATTAGAATCAAAATAAAGTTAAAGCTCTAAAAACATTCTTATTTATGTCATTATTATAGGAAGGAATGAGAAAAACATGAAATAAGGGGCAACAAAGGAAAAGACAGAGGCCATCTTCTTTTACCCCATATTCAGATGGAACAATAGCACAAAGGGCTTCAGTAAAAAACATGTGAAAACACCACCAGCCTCACCTCCTCGAAGTCCTCGCTGACCCACAGCGGGATGGGGGTGCCCCAGTATCTGTTTCTGGAAATTGCCCAGTCTCGCGCGTCTTTCAGCCAGTTTCCAAACCGCTTTTCTCTCACAAACTCCGGGACCCTGGGTGAGCAGGTCAGACACTGATCAGCTGCGAACATCACTGAGGAAATCTGAGAGGGCACCGGCATCGGCCTTGGCATCGGCGTTAAGGACCAGACACCCGGGAGACGCTGGGCTCCCGCCTGAGAGGTGGTTTCCCAGGTGAAGATGCTCTTTGTGGGAAACATCACTGTACCAGGCCTCCCTGCCTGCCTTCCCTTGGGCACGGCCACAGTCCTCTGAACAGTCACCACCGGCTAGCTAGCCCGGCCCCGCTCCTATTTAGTTTCTGGGTCATCCACACCACAGCGCTTTAACTGTAACTCACTGGTGTGGGCTCCCATCACCTAGTCCCGTGGTTGGCAAACTCATCAGTCCACAGAGCCAAATATCCACAGAACAACGACTGAAATTTCTTTTGAGAGCCAAATTTTTTTAAACTTAAACTTCTAACGCCACTTCTTCAAAATAGACTTGCCCAGCCGTGGTATTTTGTGGAAGAGCCACACTCAAAGGGCCAAAGAGCCACCTGTGGTTCGCGAGCCACAGTTTGCCAACCACGAACCTAGAAAATAAGAATCTGAACAGGTAGGGTGTCAGTAGTTGGCTGGTAGATGCCTCCCAGGCTCACGGCACATTGTACACTGGGCTCCGCAATGAGGAAGTTCCTTAAATGCGCTGCTCACCTCAGTGCCCTCGCTAGCACCAGCCCTCCCCTGTGATAACCTTCCCTGGCGGAACTCACATCAGCAACTCCTCCCCCGAATTTCTCTTTCTCAGATTGAGACACCTATCCTTTGAGGTTCAGCATTGTAGAAAAACTTAAGTTTAAGACCAAGTTAGGGTTCCCTAGTCCTGTATCATAAATGTCAGTTTATAGGCCGGCACCTCCCACAAGACAATGGATATTCCATATCCAGCACGTCACACATTAGGAGAACTAGAGCGTTCTAGGTATAAAAATGAAAGAACAGCTTTTACTTGAGAAATCAGAATCACTTCGCTGGAAAAAAAAATAGAAAGCTATAGGCACTTCCTTTTACTACCCTGAGATGCTCCCATTCTTCCAAAATCAAATGCAGTCTTTCAGTTCTTATCAGGAGTTAAAAATACTGATTGCACTCCAAACTCTCAGTTAAAAACATGCTTGTGCATACATAAATCCAGTCTTCCTTCATTGTTGTAATAGGTCTTTTCAATCGTTATCAGCTAAGAGCTTTTGTCCCCTCAGTGAAGTGGCCTGAACAAGACCACAGTCTGGGAGCTCACCAACCATCACAAGTAGTATATATTATAGTATAGCTTGAACATGTGTTTGAACTACAAGAGTCCAATTATATGTCAATTTTCTCAAGTGACCCAAACAGTTCAAACCTGGGCTGTTTAGGGTCAATGCCAAGGCTGGGAAATCACAGATGTGGAGAGCCGACTCTTATGTTACACACGGATTTGTGACTCGGCAGACATTCGAGCCCCTAATTCCAACTGTCATCATAAACAGCTTTGGTGGATATATCCATAAACAAACGTTTACCCTGAAAATGACTGTTATTTAAGGCTAATGAACACTATGAGTACAGCCAGATGTTTTTCAGTCATCCAATTATGTAAAATGAACAAACAGCAGTTTCTCATTTCCATTTGGCTTTTAAAAAAACGGTAAAGCCGAAACTGGTTTGGCTCAGTGGATAGACTGTCAGCCTGCAGACTGAAAGGTCCCAGGTTTGATTCTAGTCAAGAGCATGTACCTTGGATGCCAGCACATCCCCAGTAGTGGGTGTGCAAGAGGCAGCTGATCAATGTTTCTCTCTCATCGATGTTTCTAACTCTCTATCCCTCTCTCTTCCTCTCCGTAAAAAATCAATAAAGTTAAAAAAAATAATATATGCCTTATAATAAAAAAATGGTACTTTATTATATCTTATTTAAATTTTGTTTCCTAAAAAGAAATAAAAATAGATATTACTACAATATATAATAAATGATGGCTATTAAAATTATTATGATTTGGGGGACTGCAAACCAGTACTAACTATATGACAAAGAACATGCTAAAGACACACATCTTACTGCTCACCAGTAACACAGGTCATTGTTCCTCATCAGCTGGTCCACCATGTGCTCAACCCGCACAAACCAGCTGGGCACCGCTTTGTAAATGAGGGGCGTATCCGACCTAGGAAAGCAGAATGGAGGTGCGGCTGGTCAGGTGTGCAGGCACCCAGGACAGCCACCTTTAGTGTCTCTCTGATGTCACCACTACCTACTTGGCCTTCTGCAAAACTAAAGTCTACATCCTCAGTATTGGTCAGCACCCTCCACAAACCCCAGATAGGCAAGCTAGTAAAAGAATACACGAAAAAATACATAGTTATCCTGATGTGGGACAGCTGTCCAGAAAAGAGATCATATTCACCCAGCTTGTATGGCTCAGTGGGTGAGCATCAATCCATGTACTGAGAGGTCACAAATTCAATTCCTGGTTTTGGGCTTGATTCTCCAGTGGAGCCTACAGGAGCAGCTGACCGATGTTTGTTTTCTTTCCCCGCCTCCCCCCGTCTCTCTTTCTCTTCCTCTCTCAAATTTATAAAAACATTGAAAAAACAGATATCACACTTGGCAAAAATGAGGAATGAGATCATAACGTACCATGGAAGATTCCATTTCACCCAAATCTTTATAATTTTGTATTAAAACTTATCACATATATCTCACTTAATTCCATTAGAAAATTTTAGAGATGTTTCTCATCCTAGAGAAATGTGACTCCCACCACAAAATATATTTGTCCCTGTAGGATGATAGAAAATATGCACATATGTCTTTGCCCCTGGATCCTGGCACAGAGTTCCTGAAACCCTTCTCATTTCCTGGGTGACAGGAGTGTCTTTTGTTCTAATGAGGTGATGCTGGGTGAGCCCCTGGATGGGGGTTGGCCACTGGAAAGACGAAGCCATGACAGCTTGGAATTCCAGCCGTCTCCATCCTGCTGAGAAGGGCCAACAACAGAGTTAATGGTTGACCATGCCTTTGTGGTGAAGCCTAAAATCTGCCAGTGCAGGGGTTAACGGTTTCCAGGTTGATGAATACATACATTGGAGGGTGACACACCTCAACTCCATGTGATACATGCTATGCCCACAGGACCCTCCTAAACCTCTCCGTAAGGCTGCTTACTTGCATCCTTCAATAAATGTGTTTCCTGGAATTCTCAGCCTGACTAGCAAATAAATTGAACCAACCCATGCAGGGGACAGAGGGAACCTCTGAACTGAAGCCCATCTGTCTATCAGGGATTAATCCTTGGGACCTGATGATCCCTCTAGGAAAAACATCTAAAAATCTGGGGACTGAAAAATGTCTTAAGTGAAATGTTTTATTTAAGTTGTAAAGAAGATCACAGGATAAAAAAACAAGTAGGGCCCAGTCAACAGAGCTCAGTGGTTGAGTGTTGACCTATGAACCAGATCACGGTTTGATTCCCGCTCAGGGCACATGCCAGGCTGCCGGCTTGGTCCCCAGTGTGTGGTGTGCAGGAGGCAGGTGATGTTCTTTCTCATCATCAATGTTTCTATCTCTCCTCTTCCTTCCTCTCTGAAATAAACAAAAATATATTTTAAAAACAAATCAGCAACAAAAAAACAAGAAACTAAATAGGGAAGAACTAGGTTTTTTCTTTACAGTCTGTGCCTGTATTTCTAACATAACTCCTGAGAAAAGAAATAATTGTATGCATTCATAACATTCTCCTTTGAGCAAGAAGGTATTATCCAAACACAAGCTCTAAAGAATACAAATGAGATGGAAACCACCAACTGACGGAGTGGCACAAAAAATATGCACAAATCAAAAGCTCTGGCTCAATCAGTCCCCTCCTCACCTCCAGCAGAAAGGGTAGCTATGAGTGAAGGTACTGGCAACAAGAAGTCGGCCTTGCTCTTTCAGCATCCTGATGATATTTTTGTCAGCATCCTGTTAAAAAAGTAAAATGTAGCTACTAAAATATCCTCCAGTATTTAGTAACATGATATAATTGAGTATTTATTAATAAAATCCAGTATTTGGATACCTTTATATGAGTAAAAGACACAAATAACAAATGTATTATATACATGATGCAACTGTATTTTGTAATACATGTAACTGCACGCACTTTTAAAATACATGCCATATCATTAAGGTAGTGCAGTATTCAATCAGCAATGACTACCCCAAGGTCACAACGTTGCTATATGAGTCACCAGTCAGAGTCCATTTTTCCAACTCCTTGAAACTATAGCCTGCTTGAAGATACTAGATCCTCAAATGCAGCTAATAATAAGTCTACCTTTACTGATTTTATGTGCTTAACTGATTTTAAAAGCCAAACAAAACAAGCAGCTTCCTAAAAACAAACAAACAAAAAAAACCCCAGATGTGGAAGCCTTTTGATAAAAACTGATTAGTAAAAACAGCAGGATTAAATCAACAGCTTTCTATGCCTTACAATCACAGACCTTCACATACTGTCCCACGAAATCCATCACTTCTGCTGTGAAACAGCCTGAAGCATCCACAGGGCACACAGGGACAGAATCTTTCTGAATGATGTTGAAGTCCATACAGACCCGATAGTCATCCTGGGGGGAAGGGGATCACAATAAAACAGTTCAAGTGTATGAGTAGGCAGTGCAGTTTTCAATTAGCAATGATTAACCCAAGGTCACCAAGTTGCTTTATGAGTCACCAGTCAGAGACCAGTATGGGGAGGGAGGTGTATAGGAATAATTTTCTGTATTCTGATAGGAACCTCTCATCACTGTAATTATCGCCCAACGAAAGTTAATTCAAAGACTGCACAGAGAATTTAACAGAGCATCATAGTGGCAGAGAATTATCATCTTGCCTTGTCTAACCAGCCATTATTTCATGGACCCCTGCATACATGAGTATTTATCACTAAGTGAGAAAATGGCACAAGGACAGGTCATGGAGAGAACCAAGATGGCGGCCTAGACAAGCAGCTAAGCTGCTGCCTCGCACAACAATTTTAAAACAACAACTTAAATCAGAATGGACATCATCCAAAACTACAGGAAAGCTGGCAGAGTGGGAAATCTACAACCAGAAAGAAGAGAGGCTCACAGATCGGATCGGGATCCACTAAGTGCTGAGGTAGGGTGACACAGGCACAGAGAGGAAGTGCAGCCGAATGCCTGGCTGGCAGGAGGGGAAAGGAAGTTCCCGATTGCACTGAACCCTTTTTGACTGCACTGAACCCCAACCCCGGCAGAAACTCTGTGGACCCAGGCTCAGGCTCATATGGGTGGAGTCCAGACTGTAGAGAAAGACACCTGAGACTGGGGACTGGGAGAGCCAGGAGCCGCAGTGGGCAGGGTCTACAGTCACACGAAAGTGAGTGAGCGCAGAGAGGTTTGACGGCAGAGGTTGCCTTGGCCTCTCCATAGCGGAAGGAGTCAGAAGCTCCAGACTACAGAGACCCAAACCAATTCCGGGCGAGCCCCTGGGGTACCCACGCTCTTGCACGGGGAATCAAGATGGTCAGGGGGAAACATCAAGGCAGACTAGTGCCGGGGCTTGGGGCCACTTCATGAGAAATATGGGGCACAATGAAGTCAGATGCTGCTTGAGAAATCTTAGGAAATTCTTAAGCATGAGCTAACATGGGCTTTTGGTATGAATAAGCCACTGGAAATCACTTGGGTAGGCCTGGAAAATCACCAGGTATGGAGAAACATTGATAGCCAGGTTGACAGAGTCTCAGATATGATGACTGCAAAACTCTGTGCTGGGAAGGCTCATCAAAGGAACACTGGCCTCTGCCAGCATTTCTGTCTTGAAAAAGGCTGCCCCCACAGCTCTCACACTGATGCCAGGCCTGTGTGTTTCTGCTGTCATTCAAACTGCTGCCTCAATGCTTGGAGATCAAGAGAGTGAGTCTGAGTTGGTCCACATCGGCCCTTTAAGAAGAATAGTTGGGGGTCCAGCTGCCATAGTTTCCCTTCATTCCAGCTGGTTTTCACAGCCAGAAGTTATGAGGACTGGAACCAGAACCCTTTAGGCTGGGAGGTCTGGTGAGGGGTTGAGAAATCCTCAGAGCAGGACCTTTGCAGAGGAGATATCCTTCCGAATTTTTACCTGACACATGGGGAATGGGACCAGCTGGCCTGGAGCTCCACTTCTCCTACTATCTGGGTGTAGCTTCTACTCTAGCTGTAGGACTCCCATACAGCTAGACTTCAGGTGGTTGTGAATTTAGTTGTAATTTTGATGTGATTGTGGCAGGAGATGAATAGAGCTCCCACCCAATTAGAATAGTGAACAGGTTCTAGGTGATTTAAAGTCATTCATTTTATTGGGTTCATTAGCATGGTGGTTATCATAAAAATAAAATGTCTGTGTTGGAGTGTATACCAAAGGTTGTGGATTCAATTCCCAATCAGGATGTATACAGGAGGCAATTGATCCGTTTTTCTCTTTCCCTTTCCCTCTGTCTAAAAATCAATAAAAACATGTCTTTGGGTGAGGTTTAAAAAAATAAATAAAAATAGAAAAATAAAATTTATTATCAATCAAAGATGTGTACCGAAGTATTTGCAGACCAAGAAATGGTATTCAGGATTTGCTCCAAAACGGTCTAAATTAAAACCATGAGGGAAGGTGAGGGATTAAGATAGATGAAACAGAATTCCCAAAATGCTGATAATACAGCTGGGTGATGTAAACATAAGGACTTAAACTATCTCTACTTTGCTCACTCCTATCACAGACAAAACAATCAAGCTGAGGGGAATCTATAGGGCCCAGTGCATGTGGCACTCGCAGCAGTGTGTATGCTTTTCGAGCGTCACAAACTACAGAAACACCCTCTACAGGAAGATTCCATTTAATCCTTCCAAGTCTCCAGACAGGCAGGTAGTAACACCCTGCTACAGGAAAGGAAAAGAAAATCTAGACAGGTCAACTAATTTATTGCAGAGCTTTGACTTAACATGAGGTCTGATTTGGTCTAAAAGATGTGCCCTTAATCCCTATACTCTTTTATTTATATACAAATTATATTAAAAGAATTACATTTTGGAAAAAGAAGAAAGAAAAATAAGGAAAGAAAAAAGAAGGAAAACAAAAAGAAAATTAAAGAAAAAAGAATTACATATTCATAAAATTACTTTGGGCAAAATTTTAAATTTAGCACACTCTTCCACCTTGAAAAGAGAGGTCAAATTCTCCCTTCTTAACATATAGCATTTAGCGAACAGCACAGCAGAGGTGATGGGAACCTTGATTTATCAAGTGACTGTGTGACTGCATGCCCCCATCAAAACTCAAAGAACTGTACATCATAAGGAGCAAAGCAGTGCCCTAGCCGGTTTGGCTCATTTGGCTCAAGTGACAGAGCCTCGGCCTGCGGACTCAAGGGTCCCAGGTTCGATTCTGGCCAAGGGCATATACCTTGGTTATGGGCACATCCCCAGTAGGGAGTGTGCAGGAGGCAGCTGAATGATGTTTCTCTCTCACTGATGTTTCTAACTCTCTATCCCTCTCTTTTCCTCTCTGTAAAAAATCAATAAAATATATTTTAAAAAATAGACCAAAGTCTCATGTAAATCAAATATGAATGAATCAAAACACAGCATGCCTTTGAAGACCAAATATCCTTAGCCCACCACTTTCAGAAATCAGTTCAGGGTGAAAAGACATTGCAGATACAAGTTTTATAAGCTTGAAAAGAGGTTGACTCCATGGCTTAATCAAGAGTGGTGACCAACACAAAAAATGCATGCCCACAGGCAAACACACATACACAAGACATTTCTTTATAATACTGGTAAAATATATACTACTCACAGCACCAAAGTAAGGAGCTTGATGCACCACTCCAGTGCCTTCTTCCTCCTTCACATAGTTGTCAACAAGCACTGTAAAAGCGCCATGCTCTTTCCACTGGAAAAGAAAAGGATTAAAAGATGAAACAATACCATATCATAACATAATTTGATAACCCATTTTTAGAGCCCGAAAAAACTTTTAACATGAATTATGTTCAGCGATGAAAATGGCAATAATTCAGACTGGAAAGAAACATGCTAGTTCTATACATCACATCATGAATAATTCATCCCTAATAAATGAAATAATTATCTGAAGTGGCAGGAAATAGGTCCAAATTTTTTAGTGAAAATTCATTATTTCTCCTGGACGGAATTCCTCTCCCCAGCATACTATTTACCATAGTATCAAAAAACATACTCCTCAAATTATTCCCTTCCTGGTACATAGTTAACCCTTGAACAATGCAGGGGATAGGGGCACCAAACCCCATACAATGGAAACCTGAGTGTAACTTTTGACGCTAAAGTTGGCCCTTCCCATCCTTGAATTCAACCAAGCGTAAATTGAAAACTATATTTTTAATTTGCAGTTGGGAATGCAAAAAATCTGTTATCTATCCATGGTTTGTTAAATAAAATCCATGTATAAGTGAACCGGGGCCTTATTGGAGGGTCAAGTGTATTTTCAATCACTGCATACACTTTGCTTCTCTTTCTCAAGTGGTTCAGCTGTAAAACGTAAACTTTGAAAGAAAAGGGAGAGGGCCGAGAGCTACAAGTTCTATGTATTATACTATTTGAAGACATTGTAACCTGAGGGGGGGGGGTATGTGTGTTTCTAATATGACTTCATTTCTAACAACAATAAAACATGTGCCCTTAGCCAAAACCGATTTGGCTCAGTGGTAGAGCGTTGATCTGCGGACTGAAAGGTCCCAGGTTCGATTCCGGTCAAGGGCATGTACATTGGTTGCGGGCACATCCCCAATAGGAGGCAGCTGGTCGAAGTTTCTCTCTCATTGACATTTCTGGCTCTCTATCTCTCTCCCTTCTTCTCTGTAAAATATCAATAAAATATATTTAAAAACAAAACAAAACACATGCCCTTAATCCCTATAGGTTAGTACATATAAAGCTACAGACTTATTTTCCTGCCTTCATCTCTTAATATTTCTTTTCAGATGCCGTTTGTTTTAGCCCAACTAAAACCCTCTGCTTTCTTACCTATCTGCGTTTGCAAAAAGTACATTCAGAAATGACTTTCACAATTAAAACTACACAGTGAAAAATGTATTAGTATTTTCATGTTTTAAAAATATTCTGGTTGTCGAAACTGGTTTGGCTCAGTGGATAGAGCGTCTGCGGACTCCAGGGTCCCAGGTTCGATTCCGGTCAAGGGCATGTACTTTGGTTGCAGGCACATTCCTGGTAGGGAGTGTGCAGGAGGCAGCTGGTCGATGTTTCTCTCTCATCGATGTTTCTAGCTTTCTATCCCTCTCCCTTCCTCTCTGTGAAAAATCAATAAAATATATTTAAGAAAAAAAAATTCTGGTTGCATTTGTGTTTCTTGGAGAACCCAGAACAAAGTTGATGAAATGGTTTGCCTAAATCACACACCAGCAATAATGAAGCCGGGTCCTGAAACAAGGCTTTCTAGTTCAAAATACAGACAACAACCTCACAGCTCTTAAACTGTTGGCAGTTGCTTAAAAGTAAACATGACAAATAACTAGAGATTTTCAACTGCTGTAACCTAAATCACCTGTAAATGCTTATGGTGTGGTGCGACAGGTACTGAGAGGTGTGTCTTCAAAGACTTAAAGATGGAGAGAACATGTGTGTCCTCAGGGAACACAAAGGTATTTTGCTACTTAAAACTGTACACCAAAAACCCCACACTCAGTTCCCATCTCTCTGAGTGCAGCTCTGGATCAAGCCTTGCTGTGGCTGGCCAGCAGTCAGCACAGAGCACTAGAGTGCTGCCCCCACATATTCTCACAGCTCCCATTTAATATTTCAGAGCATGTGTATTTTAGATATACATCAGATGATTTTGTCCTAAGTCAAAGAATTTTAGCTTTTGTCTGAAATTCACAGAAGGTCCCAGAAATTTCAGGAAGTTAACTAAATGAATCGGGTAGATCTTATTTATCATATATATACTGAGTGCATATTTCACTGACTTAACCCAAAGCTCCTATCGAGAGTGTCCATGTGCATTTTCTGAGAGGTCTTAGCTTTCCTCAGGCTCTAAATAGGGCCTGTAGTTCAGAAAGTTGAGAACTGACCTTCTCAGAGTCAGAGTTTTAAGACAAACAAAAACACACGAAATATGTTAAGATGCATGAGAAAAGAATGCAATAATGGTATTCCAAAGACAACTAAGAGACACTTCAGAAAACACTGTTTTTCAGATGGTATCCAATACAAGCCATTTCAGAAAGGTGAAGCAAATTTTAAAAGAAGGAGAATGTAATGAAAAGATAGGCAGAAGGGGGGGAGGGGCAGTTTGACTGAGGCAAAAGATAGGTTAGGGGATGTGACTAGGAAGCACATCTGCCTCATGTCAAGTGGAGAGCACCTGGCGAGGAATGTGCTGGCAAATGACATGACTACAGCCTCACAGAAGGGACCAGATGAGGCAAAACGTAGGGATAACCACCAGAACAACATGTAATGAGGGAAAGGGCTGCTAGTTAGGAGACAAAAAACATGGGGAAGCACTCAAGGAAAGAAACATGTGAGCAATACTGTGGACAGAGTCCAAATGGCGTAGGTCACCTGCGCTAACCAAACTCACTCCTGCATTGAAAACAGAGATGAGCACATGTTTTATCCTGGGCAGCAATGCCAGTTTTTTTTTATTGCTAATTCTATGCCAAGCTGAATATCTTTCTTTCTTTCTTTCTTTTTTATTTAATATATTTTATTGATTTTTTACAGAGAGGAAGAGAGAGGATAGAAAGCTAGAAACATAAATGAGAGAGAAACATTGATCAGCTGCCTCTTGCATGCCCCCTACTGGGGATGTGCCCGCAACCAAGGTATATGCCCCTGACTGGAATCGAACCCTGGACTCTTCAGGCCGCAGGCCGACTCTCTATCCACTGAGCTAAACTGGTTTCGGCTGAATATGTTTCTTACATAATATAACAAGCTAGGTCAGTTCTGAGGGCGTTACTCTTCATTTTACTCTATGACAAGCATGTCAAATCATTCATTGGATGACCAGCAGCCAGTGGGCCACATGCCTCGTTTAAATAAAAGACATGCTTGCTCTAAGACCTATAAATAAATATCAATTCCTGTTGACCTTGTTGTTTTGTTGGTGATTAAGTTTGCAATTATAGCTGTAAATCCTGTTGTCAGAAAATGAAAACCACATAAAACAGCCTAACCAGTTTGGCTCAGTGGATAGAGCATCAGCCTGCGTACTGAAGGGTCCCAGGTTCGAAGGTCAAGGGCATGTACCCTTGTTGCAGGCACATTCCCAGTGGGAGGTGTGCAGGAGGCAGCTGATCCATGTTTCTAACTTCTCCCTTCCTCTCTGTAAAAAAAGAAATCAATAAAATATATTAAAAACCAAACAAACAAAAAAACCCCAAACCCAGCTGTGTGACTCCTCAGAGAGACAACAAGTGTCTATTGTGTGACTGTACTGAGGTACCCAGGTTTAAAGGACTAACCTGATCCACTTACTGGAAGTAAACTGTTCACCTTACACACAGTCTATTCCGAGCACTGTCCTAAATTTATAAATAGCCAACAACAATCCCTCCTCTTCTTTGGCAATAAGCAGACCATAAAGAATAAATATATACACAGTGAATCTTAGGAAATGTAAGTGACTTCTTACATAATTTGAGAAAACTATTTTTAAAATTATTACAAGAAGGCAATATAGGGAGAATCAAGATGGCAGCCTAGGTAAGCACCTAAACTGCTGCCTCGCACAATAATTTCAAAATAACAACTAAAAGACAGAATGGACATCATCCAAAACCACAGGAAAGCTGGCTGAGCAGGAAATCCAAAACTAGAAAGGAGAGAGGCTCATGGATTGGATCTGGAGCTGCAAAGCACTGAGGTAGGGAGATGCTCACGCAGAGAGGAAGGGCAGCCAAGTGCTGGCTGATGGGAGGAAAAAGGAAGCCCCCAATTGCACTGAACCCCAGGTTCCAACTGCAATGAATCCCAATCCCAGCTAAAACCCTGTGGACCCAAGCTCAGACTGAAGAGAAAGGCACCTGGAGACTCAGAGTCTGGGAGACGCAGGGGGAGCTGGGAGCCGCAGCGCGCGAGTGAGTGCACGCAGAGAGGTCTGACAGCGGAGGTTGCTGTAGACTATCCATAACGGAAGGAGTCAGAGGCTCCTAACTGTACTGAAACCCCAGCTTGAACTGCACTGAGCACTGAAACCCAGTTCCAGGGGAGCACCTGGGGCAGCCACGATCTTACAAGGGTAATCCGGACTGTCAGGCAGAAACTCAGGAGAGCCACGGAAGGCAGAGGTCTGAGGCACACATACAAGGGCAGGGCTGATGGGAAGCCAAGACACTCCGCCCCATTCAAGCTGAGCTCAGAGGCTTTTGCAATTTTGCAAGTCTGATCCTAAGAGACTGTTTCCAATACAGAAGGTATCCCAGAGTAGACACAGCTGATACTCACATCCAATAGGTCTACAGGTCAATTCCTCCCAGTGATACCAACAACAATCAAGACTTGACTACAACACAAAGGGTGCACCAAGAGTGTCTACCTCAGGTAACTGGGGAGGCTGACCCACCAGACCATACAGGACATCAAGCACACAAAGCCAAGTCAGGGAAGCAGCAAAAATACTGAGACAAGGAAAGAGATCTTAAAAGAAATGGAGGAGAACAAAAGTCTGGATATAGAGTTCAAAACCACAGTTATAGGATTTTTCAAGAATTCCCAGAAAAGGCTGATAAATTTAATGAGACCCTCGAGGGTATGAAAAAGGTTCAACTAGAAATTAAATATATGCTGACGGAAATAAAAAATATTATACAGAGACCCAACAGCAGACTGGAGGAACACAAGAATCAAGTGAAAGATTTGGAATACAAAGAGGCAAAAGACACTTCTCTGGAGAAGCAAGAAGAGAATCCAGAAAGTTGAAGATAGTGTAAGAAGCCTCTGGGACAACTTCAAACATATCAACATCAGAATCATGGGGGTGCCAGAAGAGAGAGAGCAAGATACTGAAAACCTATTTGAAGAAATAATATCAGAAAACTTCCCCCACCTGGTAAAAGAAATATACAAGTCCAGGAAGCACACAGAACCCCAAAGAAAAGGAATCCAAAGAGGACCACACCAAGACACATCATAATTAAAATGCCAAGGGCAAAAGACAGAGAAAGTTATAAGCAGCAAGAGAAAAACAGTTAGTTACCTACAAGGGAACACCATAAGGATTATCAGCTGATTTTTTTTCAATGGAAACTATGCAGGCCAGAAGGTAGTGGCAAGAAATCGTCAAAGTGATGAATAGCAAGAACCTACAACCAAGATTACTCTACCCAGCAAAGTTATCATTCAGAATTGAAGGTCAGCTAAAGAGCTTCACAGACAAGAAAAAGTTAAAGAATATATCACCACCAAACCAATATTATATCAAATGCTAAAAGGTATTCTTTAAGAAGAGGAAGAAGAAGAAAAAGGTAAAGATAAAAATTATCACCAACAAATATATATATATCAACAAGTGAATCTAAAAATCAAGTGAATTAAAAATCTGAGGAACAGAATGAACTGGTGAATATAATAGAATCAGGGGCAAAGAAAGGGAGTGGATTGATAATTATCAGGGGAAAAGGGGTGTGGGAGGTGCAGGAAGAGACTGGACTAAAATCGTACACCTATGGATGAGGAAAATAGGGGGAGAGGTAAGGGCAGAGGGTGGGGTGGGAACCGGGTGGAAGGGAGCTATGAGGGAAAAGGGAGAAACAATTGTAATAATCTGAGCAATAAAGATTTATTTAATTAAAAAAAAGAAGAAGAATGCAATACAAACAGAACTGTACCCTGTTTACACTAAAGAAGATGTTACTTCAGGCACTTTCAGGGAAACAGAACAATCTGGCCATGTGAAGCCCATACTGGCTACCATTCCATTGGCCCAGTGATCAGTACCAGAGAGGGTGGTGGAGAACACTGTGGTAGTGCTCCCTAAGCTCACCTTCACAAAATAGTCAAACAGGGGCCTGTATTTCTTGCCTTGGAGAGAGGAACCTGGAAATCTAGGGAAAAAGGAGGAATGCAAACTCACAATTAGATTCAAATTATCAATGAAGTTAGGTTGCACCCACATGAAGTCACCACTGCCTTCTAGTTTACTTGTTCCTTAGTCATTAATGCTGGCACAGATTACCAAACATACTCGTACTTAAAATAGTACTTAAGTACTTAGTCTTTAAAATGGTAATATACTTAAAGCTAAACTTGAGTAATTAACTTTTGGGTAAGAAAGTATCTTTTTTTTTTTTTTTTTTTTTAAACTAAAGACACACAAGCATAAATCAATGATTTGTATATTTACCTTTCAAGAATCTCATAGTCACTCTCCAATTTGTAAAGGGCCGGTAATCTGGCTTCCATTAAAATGAATGTTTTTCCTCTGACAACATCTATAAGAGCAACAGAAAAAGAGGACTTCAGTGACAGCCAGACTGTGGCTTCCTCTAAAGGCTCAGCTCAGCTCTACTGCAGGCCACCTGAGCCAGCGTGCCCAGAACTCGGAGCAGCACTGCCAATAGGGCTAGGACACACTGCCTTCTACATACATGACAAAGCATAAAAAGCAGCAGGCAGCTCTAAGCATTTAAAGTGAATTAATCTTTATTTTCTCCTACCAAATAGTATCCTGTTCACACATTTGCACCCTTATTGAAAATGAATTATATAACTCGAGAAATAGAAAAGCTGAACAATTACATCAATATTTAAAATTTAATAGATCCTGGCAAATTGCATTACCAAAGCTTAGGCTAACTTAAACTCCTATCTATGAAGTATGACATATCTAAGAATTTATTAGAACCGTGGTCCAAACTGTGGATGGTGAGCCACATGCGGCTCTTTGGCCCCTTGAGTGTGGCTCTTCCACAAAATACCAAGGCCTGAGCAAGTCTATTTTGAAGAAGTGGCGTTAGAATAAGTTTAAGTTTAAAAAATTTGGCTCTCAAAAGAAATTTCAATCATTGTACTGTGGATATTTGGCTCTGTTGACTAATGAGTTTGCCAACCACTATACTAGAGCAAATAACATACGTACAGTACAGTTCACAGTAAGAAAAATGAGAATCTGTGAATCATTGTGAAGGCCCCTGCAATTCATTAAAAAACTGCTATAATTAGCCCCCAGTGATCAGCAAACTGCAACTGGAGAGCCACGTGCAGCTCTTTGGCCCCTTGGGTGTTCTAACACCACTTCTTCAAAACAGATTCGTCCAGGCCAAAAACCAACTTCTGCTCATGGGCCACAAAGTTTCAATTGCATTGTATGTGCACTCACACATGGTATTTTGTGGAAGAGCCACACTCAAGGGGCCAAAGAGCCACAGTTTGCTGTCCACTGCCCTAGCCGGTTTAGTTCAGAGGACAGAGCATCAACCTGCAGTCTGAAGGGTCCTGGGTTTGATTTGGTCAAGGGCATATCCCCGGGGTTGTGTGCTTGAACCACAGTGTGGGACATGCAGAAGACAACTAATTAATGATTCTCTCTCATCATCGATGTTTCTCTCTCTCTGAAATCAATAAAAAATATTATACATATATATTCATTAACTGCTATAATTAATCTGACCCTCACCAACTCTGACATCAAAGGAATTTCAATGTAAGTGGAGTATACATTTCTGAAGAAAACTCAGGACACATGTTCCACCAAGTACAAGAGGGGTATAAAGGCAGAGGAGTGACATGATTGAACTCTCGGCCAGATAGCCCCGAAGGATGTCAGGCTCACTACAGAATGGCTATTATCACATGTACACAGAGAAGCATCTCCTTACACCTGAGTCACGCTCTGAACCAACAACAGCTCTTGCCCAGCAAGTATCCTAGGAAACAACACTAGGTCCTATCCACTCCCAAGGCACAGCTAAGTAATAATAAAAAACAAACAAACCTGTTTTCTGACCAACAACCTCTCTTGTTCCTATTATCTGTTGTTCTTGCCAGCAAAAGCTATTTAAAAAAATCTTTACTGCTGATTATTAGAGATGATTCCTTTTCCCCTCACTGACACACCACCACCCTATCATCTGTTGCCATAGGTAATGCATATCTATACATATAAAAGGCTAATATGCAGTGTCCCCTGGGAAGTTCAATCGCTCACTATGATGTGTGCCGTGCGCTATGAAGCAAGGCCCCCACTGCTGGAGAAGGGAGGCCGAGGCTGTCAGCCAGAAGGCCCCGATCAGCCCTGATCACCAGCCAGGCCTAGAGACCCATGTAAGATTTTGGTTAATCTCTCTCCACCACCTCTCCCCCGTTCCCTAAGATTCATCAGTCTGTTCCATCATGGTTCTAATGTATTCATTAGTTTATTTTGTTCATTAGATTCCTTGTTCATTTATTTTGATTTTTAGATTCAATTTTCAAGAGATAAGTATTCATTACCATTATTCATGTTTTTTATTTTTTCCCCCTTCATAAAGAATATTCTTTAACATTTCATGTAACAGTGGTTTGGCTTTTTCTTGTCTGTGAAGCTCTTTATCTAACCTTCAATTCTAAATGATAGTTTTGCTAAGTAATCTTGGTTGTAGGCTCTTGCATCACCTTGAATATTTCTTACCACTCCCTCCTAGCCTGAGAAGTTGCAGTTGAGAAATCAGCTGACAGTCAGATAGGCACTCCCTTGTAGGTAATTACCTGATTTTCTCTTGCTGCTTTTAAGATTCTTTGTCTTTAGCCCTTGGCATTTTAATTATGATGTGTCTTGGTGAGGGCCTCTTTGGGTTTTTCTTGTTAGGATTCTGTGGTTCCTGGATTTGTAAGTCTACTTCTTTCACCAGGTAGGAGAAGTTTTGTCATTATTTTTATAATTTAAAATATATTTTATTGATTTTTTAGAGAGGAGAAAGATTATAGAGATTTAGAAACATTGATGAGAGAGAATACCCACCAGCTGCCTCCTGCACACCTCTTACTGGGGATGTGCCCAAAACCAAGGTACTGTATTTTCCGGCATATAAGACGACCTCCTAATTTTACAGGTAAAACACAGGTTTATGCCTATATTCGCTGTATAAGACTACCCCCCACTTCAAAGAAAAGACTTACTTTGCTGTCAAGATCTGCTGGTAATTTTTGTGCAATTTTGGTCTTTTGCCCCCGATTTTCGGTTGACTTTTTTTTTCGTTTCAAAAGTCCGGAAAATACGGGTATATGCCCTTGACCAGAATCAAACTTGGGACCCTTCCGTCCACAGACTGATGCTCTATCCAATGAGCCAAACCAGTTAGGGCTTGTCGTTATTTTTTCAAATAGGTTTTCAATATCCTGCTCACTCTCTTTTTCTTCTGGCACCCCAAGGGAATGTTGGTACACTTGAAGTTTTCCCACAGGATCCTTATGTTTTCTTCATATTTTTAGATTCTTTTTTCCGTTTCCTCTTCTAATTGGTTCTTTTTTGCTTCCTCATATTCTAAATTGCTGATTTGATTCTAGGCATCCTCTATTATACTGTTGAATCCTTGTAAATTATTTACTTCAGTGAGTGTATGCTTCATTTCTTTTATTTTTTAAAATATATTTTATTGATTTTTTTACAGAGAGGAAGAGAAAGGTATAGAGAGTTAGAAATACTGATGAGAGAGAATCATCAATCAGCTGCCTCTTCCACATCCCCTACTGGGGATGTGACCGCAACCAAGGTATATTCCCTTGACTGGAATCAAACCTGGGACCTTTCAGTCCGCAGGCTGACGCTCTATCCACTGAGTCAAACCAGTTTTAGCTATGCTTCATTTCAGACTGGTCCTTTTTCATGTCTTTGAAATTCTCACCAAGATCCTTGAAAGTCTCACTAAGACCCTTGATGCTTAATATTCTTAAACAACCGTATAACCATTGTTTTGAACTTTGTATCTAGTAGTTTATTTGCTTCCATTTTACTTAAGTGTTTTTCTGGAGATTTTTTTTCTTTTCCTTCATTTGTGACAAGTTTCTTTGTCTCCACATTATGGCTGCTTCCCTGTGTTTGTTTCTATGTAGTGTCTCCTGGAGTTGGTAGAATGGCCTGTGTACTAGGTGTCCTGTAGGACCCAGTGGCTCAGCCTCCTCAGTCACCCAATCTAGACACCCTAGCTGTGCCCCTGTGCGAGCTGTGTGCACAGTCTTGTTGTTGAGCATAGTCCCTTACACCAAAAGGTTTTGAGTTCCATTCCTAGTCAGGTGCATATGGGAGGCAACTGACCAATTTCTCTCTCTTTTCTGCTCTCTAAACGCATCCTCAGTGAAGATTAAAAAACGAACAACCCACACACATCAGAGATTCCTATAAATGATGAGATGCCAGCTCTCTGAACCTTCAATACTTCATCTATAATGGGGGCATGATGTACAAAAGTATGCTAAAATCAAAAAATTATAAAGTAATATTTACTTTTATATTTGCTCTATTTTTAAAAAATATATTTTATTGATTTTTTACAGAGAGGAAAGGAAAAAGAGAGTTAGAAACATCGATGAGAGAGAAACATCGACCAATTGCCTCCTGCATACCCCCTACTGGGGATGTGCCTGCAACCAAGGTATATGCCCTTGACCGGAATTGAACCTGGAACCCTTCAGTTCGCAGGCTGAAGCTCTATCCACTAAGCCAATCCGGTTTCAGCATATCTGCTCTATTTTACTTTTTGATATGCTATATTTTTAATCTGCCAAAGAAAAAAGCAGCACAGAACCAAACTGGCCTCATTCATGCTAAAAGCCCATGATAGCAAACCCAGGTTTATTATTTGACCTAATTGTCTCTACCTCTCCCAAAAACCAACAAGTATGGAATTTTCTGATCAACCTAATGAGGTGGGTCTGTGCTATAGACTCTGACCATATCCACCCCAAAGGAAAAGGAGGGAATCTGAATTATAAAATAAATAAATAAATAAATAAATAAACAAACAAATAAATAAATACCTTTGCTATTAGCTTCCTCAAAAAATACATACCAAACAGATGTCCCAGTCTAAAAATACTTTCTTTCCCTTCACTAATAACTCTCCTTGCCTCACCCCTCTTCCTATAAAAATGCATCATTTTGTACTATCCTTAGCAGCAACCTTCTACTTATAGATGGGATGTTGCCCACTTATCAAAGCCAATTAGACCTTTAAATTTAGTTGGCTGAATATTGTTCTTTAACAGATTAGAAATTAAAACAAAACTCTTTTATAGATTATTTTTTTACTCCACAAAAAAAATGTAATGTTTACTCTTTCCCAAAATGTTAACAATTACCATATCCATATTAATCATAAGCCTTCAGGCTCACACTTACCTTTAATCTTTACATACTGCATATCTGGATTAACGCAGAGGGCAAGGTTACTAGGCAGAGTCCAGGGAGTAGTTGTCCAAGCAACCAAAGATATATTTTCATCTTCCACCAAAGGAAAGGTAACAAATATTGAAGGATCTTGAACATCCTCAAATAAAATGAAACAAAGTATTTTTTTTTTAAACAAAATCGCTAACAATGGACATTGAAGAAAAAGAAAATAATACTAAAGAAATAGATTTTCAGTGTAAATTGAACTTTTAAAAAAACCATTTGCCACATTTATAAAAAAAATACAAATAAAAAAATTACAAATGTATTTTTTAGTATACTTTAAAAGCTTTAACAATTATACATTGTATGATAACATTATGGTCAATGGACTGAAGAGATGGTGGTGATCCCTTAAGATTACAATGGAGCCGAGAAATTCTATAGACTCGGCTAATGATGCCATAGGTTTCCTAAGGTCACAAGCCAATGTACTACACAAGCACTTACGTTAGGGGCAAAAATAGAACATTGAGGACTAGCTCTGGTTGTGGGAAATATTAACCATGCTCTGTTAACTAGGACTGCTAGGAGTCAACCTTGGAAGCATTCTCATTCAGGAACTGCCTATCCTCATGGAAAGATTAATGGCCTTGTTGCCCCAACAGCGGAGTCCCACCCCAGCCTCCTACTTCCCCAGGCCTGTAATCCCTACTTCCCCATATGATCCTTGTCCTACCCTATGTAAGCAGCTGGCTTATGGGGGCTGCAGAGCAGAATTTTGTGGAGGACCTGCTGCTTTCTCATACTGTCGGCATCTTTGTAATAAACGTTCATATATGATTCAGTCCTCTCTGCTTAATTGGCTCAAGTAGTGACAGGCAGCACAGACCCATTGATTGCCGGTTACACTTAGTAGCATTGCCTTACAATTGTCAACAATGTTCAGTATAGGGCAGTGTTTCCCAAACTTTTGACATATGTGTGCCCTTCTATAATTTTCGTAAAGCTGAGTACCCCTCGTACAAATCTCATGGGGTGGGGGGAAGTGGGGGGGAGATCCCTTGTTTTTAAGTTTCTAAGAGCCTTAGTTCAGTGACTGACAACATTACCAACAGGCAGGATGAATGATGAAATTACCAAGCCTCCTAGGCAGAGGCTCTCTACATTGGGAATATTACTGTAGTCACCACACCATTTACCTTCCATGTACATAACTTAATGCCCAAGGAGCTTTCACATACCTTGTAATTCTGGTGAGATTCAAAGTTGGAAAGTGGAGTGTTGCATGCAGTGGAAAAAGGCATGACTTTCATACCTCTATAAACAAGGCCTTTATCATAAAGTTGTTTGAAGACCCACCTATCAAGCAAAGAGACATTTTAGAATCCTATCTAATAAAGGGGGAATATGCAAATTGACTGTCACACTGTCACAAAGATGACAGTGGCCAGTCCCCTCAGCTCCGCCCGAGTCCTACAATCCTTTCAGCCCCACCAGGGGGGTGGCAGGCATCCGGTGTGGCCACACACTACTCACTGTGTGTTCCACGGAGTCCCACAGTCCTTTTAGCCCAGTCCGGGGGGTTTGGGGGAAAGGGGTGGCAGGCACACAGTGTGGCTGGACCCCCCTCAGTCCCCCAGCCATCCAGGATGGCCCAAAGCACAGGCAAGCCTTAGATGTCAGCTGCCCAGCTGACACCTTAGGTTCAGGCAAGCCTCGCATGTTGGATGCCCAGCAACCTAGGGCTGGCCCAAGGCACAGGCAAACCTTAGATGGCAGCTGCCAAGCCACCCAGGTTCGCCCAAGGCTTGCACTGCTGGCAGTAGCAGCAGAAGAGGTGTTATGGAGGCACTGCCTTCCTGATTGCCAAGTCCCCTCCTGCCCCTGAGGGCTTCCGGACTGAGAGGGGACAGGCCAGGGTGAGGATCCCTCAATCCCCCCAGTGCACAAATGTTGTGCACCAGGCCTCTAATTATATAACCAAAATTCTGTTTCCCCAAAGACAAATATTTATGCCAGGTTTTATTTATACACTTTGTCTCAACCAAAGACATGAAAGCACAATGTTTCTTCTCAACTGAAGATTCACTGGTAAATTACAACAGACTAGAATGAGACTTTATGTAGACACAAACATGCTAAAATCTATTGATGTGGAAACATGTATGTAACTTAATGTTGACTGAAAAAATTACTGACACCATAATGTACAGTAATGTACCAATTATGCAAAACTGCACATTTCAGTTCAGGCAGTCCTTGGGTTACATCAGATTCAACGTACGTTGTTTCATGATTACATCGTTTACTTTAGCATTTACTCTTTTTGAATACTCTATGCTTTGGAGTAAATGTATAATGACATGCACCTATTATTCTAGTGTCCTTTAGAGGTTAGTTTTGAATTTAGTTAATTTGGATTCTTGATAGTAAGGTATCTACGTATTTTGTCATATACAATGGCCTCAGAAGATTGTGCATCAAGCAGTAATCAAATACACTGGTATTTCTGCATCAGTGCATACAACTGCTCACACTAACTAGAATAAAAAATATAAATGGTCTTTTATTAAACCGGGACTCAAAGACAAATCTCTACAGGATACTAAAATGATACATATATGTTATTACACATTTACACCAAACCATAGAATGTTCAAAAAGAGTGAAATCTAAAGTACATTATGGATTTTGGGTGATTATTATATGTCAATGAAGGTTCAGTTGTAATAAACCTACTGTTCTATATTAACGAACATAATAATGGGTAGGCAATGTGTATGGGGGCACAGGCCATACGGGAAATGTCTGTACCATGCTATTAGTTTTGCTATGAACCTAAAAATGCTATACAAAAAATTATAAGTTTTAAATCTTTAAACACCAAAACAAACTCATCATTACTCTACTATGTAATACATGGGTGGGCAAAAGTAGGTTGATAGTTACAAGTATGCAAAATACAGTTCATTCTTGTATTATTTAAGTATTGTATTTTTTTAAAATATATTTTATTGATTTTGTATAGAGAGGAAGGGAGAGAGATAGTTAGAAACATCGATGAGAGTCATCGATCAGCTGCCTCCTGCACACCCCCTACTGGAGATATGCCCGCAACCAAGGTACATGCCCTCGACCAGAATCGAACCCGGGACCTTTCAGTCCCCAAGCCGACGCTCTATCCATTGAGCCAAACCGGTTTCGGCTAATTATTGTATTTTTTTCCTTATTTTCTAAAATTTATTGAATTGAGATAGAGCATTCATTCGTTAATACTTGTATGTGCCCTGACCGAGATTAAACCTGAAACTGTGGCACATTAGGACAACACTCTAACCAACTAACCTCATTAGTTGTATTTTCTATATGAAAAACTGGAAAGCTGTTTTTGTCCACCCCTGAATGACAAAAATATTCATTATATTTACAATTTCAAATACACTTACCAGACAGATTCCATGAATTCTGGATAGAGTGTTTTATAGTCATTGTCAAAGTCAATCCATCGGCCAAGTCTGGTTACAGTAGACTTAAAAAATATAAATATTATTTGATAGAGAATATTTGTTATTGAAAATCAATGTGTTTTACTTTTTAAAAAAAATATATTTTATTGATTTTTTACAGAGAGGAATGGAGAGAGATAGTTAGAAACATTGATGAGAGAGTCATCAATCAGCTGCCTCTGCACACCCCCTCCCCCATTGGGGATGTGCCTGAAACCAAGGCACATGCCCTTGAACGGAATCGAACCTGGGACCCTTCAGTCCGCAGGCCAACGCTCTATCCACTGAGCCAAACCGATTTGGCTGTGTTTTACTTTATCAGCACATGCAATGATTATGGGAAAACAGAACAATCAATGATTGAGGTAAATCTAGTATATTGCTATCAACATACTATGTAAGATAAAGCACCAGATTCTTCTGACACTCATCCCATATAAAAATGTTATTTGCAAATTATTAATATGCTTTAAAGTCTACCAAAGTTACCATTCGACAAACGCTATAGCTGTAACTGTTGCTGGTAAGAATCATTAATGGATTCTAAAACTACTGAATTAAAGTATAAAAAACAGGATATTTGCAAAGCATCACCCCACAGAATATTAATGAGAAAGGAAAAACTCCAACTTTACAATAAAGAAGCCTGAACCAGATCACCTTAGTAACCAAAGTTAACATAATTAATGGGACTTATCAGTATCACAGGCCTCCTGATGACAGACTAAGGGTATTATGATGTCACTTCTGAGACATTTTTTCCAAAAATGTAGATCCTAAACTGAATCATGGAAAAACAGTAGATATTGAGAGAATTTCTTAAAAATAACTGGTTTGTACTATTAAAAGTGATAAGGGCAAGCCCTGGCTGGGTAGTTCATTTGGTTAGAACATCATCATCAAATACATAAAGGTTTTGGGTTCAGAACACACTCCAAAACCAACCAATGAACGCATGAATAAGTGGTTAAGAAAATTGCTGCTCCCCCCTTTCTAAAATGTAAACTTAAAACTTTAAAAAATATTTTTTAAAAATTAGAAAGGTGGCAACGTCGTAAATGACAAAAAAGATAAAAGTCATGTTTCAGATTATAGGAGACTATGGAGGTATGAAACTAAATGCAGGGTCTGCTTCTAAACAGTATTTTGGATCAGAAATAAAAATTAGTGAAATTGGTTAAATTTGAAAAAGGTCTAATGTATCAATGTTCATTTCATTTTGATAATTTGCTTTTGTTAATTGTTCTATTGTTAATGAAGGTGTTAGCTAATAAGTAAAGGATAAAAGAAAACACTTGATACAACTTCACAATTTTTAACAAACTGGAATTATTTCACAATGAACAATTTAAAAATAAGGGGGAGTGGGTGAAGACCTATATAAATATTATAATCAGTATTTTTCCCTACTGGTAACCAGGCAAGGAAAGTTAGATTAAAGAAAGTTAGGAGAAAATTTAGAAGCTTTGATATTTTAGGTCCATGATATAAAATTTTATTCACCAAAGAAGAGAAGCTATTCAATGCTTTGAGGAGAGAAGAGCAAGATGAGCAGAGTCCTATGGGAGAGGAGAGAGAACTTCACAGGCGGAGGGGAAAGAGCATAAGCAAGAGACCAATTAGGATATTGTTACAGAAATGAAGAGGCAAGAAACTAGGGAAAGGTTGTTGGAATGAAAATAAATGACTAGCCCTAACTGGTTTGGCTCAGTGGATACAGTGTTGGCCTGCTGACTGAAGGGTCCCAGGTTCAATTCTGATCAAGGACATGTACCTTGGTTGCAGGCACATCCCCAGTAGGGGGTGTGCAAGAGGCAGCTGATCAATGTTTCTCTCTCATTGATGTTTCTAACTCTCTCCCTCTTCCACTCTGTACAAAATGCAATAAAAATTTTTAAAAAAGAAGAAAACAAGTGACTAAATAAGAGATGCTAAGTCTTGATAGAATTTGGTGGTAGATTTGATAAATGTATAAAAGCCTGAGTCTACTGGCAGAATAGTGAGTTCTAAAGAAAAGCAAGTTTAAGAAATCAAAGTGTCAAAAAAATAAAACAAAGCTGTTAAGTGGCACAAGCTAATTAATCAAATGTTAAGTGGCACAAGCTAATTAATCAAAAGGCCAGGGAGAAAATAAGAAACTTGGGACCTGTATTCCTAAACCCTTAAGAAAGAGCGGAGAGCTCTGACAGCACTAGACAGTTAGGTTCAGGTACCAGCTGTGGGAGCACCACCTACAGTTCAAGTAACCATGAGTCCAAATTAGAACTGATTTTAACATTTGATTTTCTTTTTCTATTTTACAATATTCAAGTTAGCCTAATTGCTAGATCAGCCTGATTCCTGTCAAATACTGTGTACAGGTAAAAGATTAAATATGAAAGATTAACCAAGCATATAGAAATAACAGAGGCTTCAGTTTAAGCTAGTCTATGCACTAGGGATGGAGGTGGAAGGAAAACACTCTTTTAAAAAGGAATAGCTGACACCTTAAGTTACAACTTCACATAGACAGCCCTACTTTTGGGAGCATCATAAAATACACAAAGGACCATAAGCCACTTGAACATCCATTTAAACTAGAAGTTTTTGTCAATTCCACTGAAAATAACTGAACATACCTTCCACTCAGTAGAATATCTCATCACAATTGCTCGGCACTGATTGTTGTACTCCACAATCCCCATTTTGGCTACATCCTCTGGTCCTCTGATTCCTAGTAGCTTATCTATTTCATATTCCTGAAAATATACAATAACATTGTTAACAACCCTGCCTTATGAAATAAAATGCAATTGAATTCTAGAAAATAAGACATTTAAAAATAAGTTCTCAAAAAAATATAGAGAAAATGAACTATAAATATTATAGAAATGAAGAAAAAGTCTGATTATAGTAAATATTCCATCATATTAATATAGGTTATATGATGAAATCTAATGCTTATTAAAAAATGAAAACATACGGCTGGTGACTCAAACATACCACAGGTAGGCCATGACAATCCCATCCAAATCTTCTGTCAACATGAAACCCACTCTGGTGAGCATATCTTGTCACTATGTCTTTAATTGTCCCTGCAAGTATATGTCCATAGTGAGGCAGTCCAGTTGCAAAAGGAGGTCCATCATAGAAAGTAAATCTAACAAAAAGAATAAAAATATGTGATTACTTTAAAATAAACAATAAAAATGTAGGACATTTTTTAATAGATGGCAACTGTCTCAGTGGAGTGTTCAGGAAGAAAACCCGGGAATGCCTGGCTGGCATGGCTCAGCTGTTTAGCATAGACCTATGAATCAGGAGGGCCCGGTTTAATGCCCAGTCAGGGCACATGCCCGGGGTTGCGGGCTCCATACCTCATGAGGGGCATGCACAAAGCAGCCCATCAAAGATTCTCTCTCACCCCCGATGTTTCTATCTCTCCCTCACCCTTTCTCTCTGAAATAAAAAAAATATATATATTTAAATATATATTACAAAAATAAAAAGTGTGACTAAAATCTTTAAAAAAATTTTTTTAATTGATTTCAGATAAATACATGAAATTGGCAATGTAGCAAAATACAAAATCAAAACCAAACATCTATGGCTTTTTTATACACCAATAATGAATTCTCAGAATGAGAAGCTAAACAAAACAATCCCATTTACCACTAAAACAAAAAAAATTAAGATAACTAAAGAATAAACCAAGAAGGCAAAAGACTTATAATTGGAAAGATACAGAACATTGGGAGAAAAAAAAAGATAAAAGGGATATATGAACAAGTGGAAGAGTATTTCATGTTCATAGATTGGTAGAATTAACATTAAATGTCCATATTACCCACAGCAATCTACAGATTCCATGCAATTCCTATTAAAATACAAACTGCATATTTCACAGATCTAGAACAAATACTCCAAAAATTATATGGAACCAAAAAGACCCCAAATATTTGTAGCAATCTTGAGAAAGAACAAAGTTGGAGGAATCCAAGTTAGACTGCAAAGTCACCATAATCAAAACAGCTGGGTACTGGCACAAGAACAGGCATACAGATCAATGGAACAGAAAAGAGAACCCAAAAATCGACCCAAACCAATTATGCTCAATTAATATGACAAAGGAGGCAAGAGCAAACAATGGAGCCAAGAGAAGTCTCTTCAATAAATGGTGCTGGGAAAATTAAACAGATACATGCAAAAAACAGATACCACCAACTTATACCATACTCGAGAGTAAACTCAAAATGGATAAAAGACTTAAATGTATTTAGTGAAACCATAAAAATCCTATAAGAAAACATAGGCAGCAAAATCTCAGACATCTCTCGTAGCAATACGGTTATGGATACATCTCTCGGGGAAAGGAAACTAAGGAAAAAATAAACAAATGGGACTGCATCAAAAAAAGCTTCTGCCCAGCAAAAGAAACCACTGACAAAATGAAAAGGAGAACATATTTGGCAATGATACATCTGATAAAGGGTTAATCTCCAAAATATATAAGGAACTCACACAACTAACAAAAGACAAACATTCCAATTAAAAAATGGACAAAGGACATAGACAGACACTTCTCCAAAGTGGACATGCAGATGGCCAGAGATATATGAAAAAATGCTCAAAATCACTGATCATCATCAGAGATGAAAATTAAAATGACAATGTGGTACCACCTCACACCTGTCAGATGGTTACCATCAACTAATCTACAAATGACAAGTGCCGGTGAGGATGCAGAGAAAAAGGAACCCTAGTACACTGCTGGTGGGAATGCAGTCTGGTGCAACCATTATGGAAAATAGTATGGCATTTCCTTAAAAAATTAAATATGGAACTGCCATTTGACCCAGTGACCCCACTTCTAGGAATATATCCCAAGAAACCGGAAGCACCAATCAGAAAGAATGCATACACCCCTATGTTCATAGCAGCACAATGTACAATAGCTAAGATCTGAAAACTGGCTAAGTGCCCATCAGTAGATGAGTGTATAAATTCAGATAAATGATTAGACATTTATTGCAGGTCCTGCCTTCAAAAAAGCTAGTTATGGGGGAGCTGGAGAAGCCACCATTGGGCCATCCATTCTTCATTGGTTATTCATCCTGATGCTAAATGATAAAGCTATTCATCAGTTTTTGAGCAGGAGACACATGATTAAAAACACAACAAAACTGGTCATTAGGTGAAGGGAGACTATAGGCAGGAGGCACCCTTACAGAAGGCTAGTCTAAGTAATTAATGAGGTGTTAATGAGAAAAGTGGAAAGAAGCGTGGGATATCTAAACTCTATTCAATAGTGGTCCAAATTTAAATAGCATTTCACATCGGAATTTCATTAGATCATTCAAGTTAATCTATTCAGAACTCTTAAACGGAATTTAATCTAATAATTAAGAACTCATTCATTCAATGTATATTTACAACTGAGAGTATCTACCATATAGAGCTAGGAGTCTCCAGTACCACAAGGTGAATAAAAAGTTCCTGTCTTAATTGAACAAAGTCTAAGAAATGACCAGTCTTAAGGACTCTATCTTTTCCAAGAAATTCACATACTTTGGCCTATGTTTTGACTGCTTTAGGCATTCTTGAAAACAATTAAATTCGGACCAGAACTGCAAGATTTTCTCTTCTTCAGCAGGAAAATTGATGTTTTCTGGAACTTGTTGAACCATTTTTTTGCTGCAAGAGAAATAAAATTTATTATTCTCAAAGAGAAGTCTAGCCTAGAAAAAATTACCATACATTAACATAAGTGTACATATTACTACCCATGCTACTATATGTTAATTTAAAAATAATTACGATTGCCATAACCAGTTTGCCTCAGTGGATAGAGCATCAGCCTGCGGACTCAAGGGTCCCAAGTTCAACTCCAGTCAAGGGCATGTATCTTGGTTGCCGGCACATCCCCAATGGGCAGTGTGTTGAAGGCAGCTAATTGATGTTTCTCTCTCATCAATGTTTCTCACTTCTATCCTTCTCCCTTCCTCTCTGTAAGAAATCAATAAAATATATTTAATAAAAATAAATAAACCAAAATTTATTTTTTTAGGTAAATTTCACAGAAGACCAAGTTCACCCTTTTAAAGTGTACAATTCAGTGATTTTTAGTATATTCACAAAGTTGTGCAACTGTCACTATGCTAATTCCAGAGCTTTTTCATCAATGCTCCCTCCCCATCCTCCAAAAACCTGTACACATTAGCAGTCACTCTCCATTCCCTTTTTTGCAGCCCGGACAACCATAATTCTGCTGCTTCTATAGATTTTCCTGTTCTGGACAATTCATATAAATAGAATCATGTATGACAGCCTATTTTGTCTGGCTTCTTTTATGTAGAATTGTGTGTTCAAGGTTCATCCATGTTGTAATATACATATCATTATTTTTATACTGAAGTTTTCTTTGTATCAACATGCCGTATTCTGTTTGCCCACTCATTAGGACTCTTTCCACTTTCTGGCTGTTATGAAGAATGCTATGAATATGAATGTATGTTCTTGTGTGGACCTAATGTTTTCAGTTCTCTTGAGCTTACATCTAGGAGTGGAACTGCCAAGACATATCGTAATTGTTTAACTTTTTGAGAAACTGCCTAAATTTTTTCCATAGCTGTTGCCTTATTTTCTGTTATTCTAGCAGTGAATGAGGATTCCAGTTTCTCTAAGTCCTCACTCCTTATTACTATTATTGCATTATAGGAAATCCTACTGGATAGGAAGTAGTAACTCTTGTGGTTTCATTTGCATTTTCCTAATGATTATGTTAAACATGTGTTTAATATGCATTTTTTATATTTCCTTAGAGAGCTGTCTATTCTTTTGCCCAATGTATAATTGTCTTTTTTATTGTTAAGTTGAAAGATATTTATATATTCCACAAGCTCCTTCTGTTATATAATTTGCAAAAATTTCTCCCATTCTGTGGACTTTTTATTTTCACGATATCCGAAACACACACTTTTAATTCTAGAGAAGTCTAGTTTATCTATTTTTTGTTGTTGTTGTTACTTGAGCTTTCGATGTCATGTCTAAGAAACCACTACCTTCCTGCCAGTGTGGTTCATAGTTGAGTATCTATCCATACACCCAGAGGTCCCAGGTTCAATTCCCAGTAGAGGGTCATGGAGGAGGCAGCCCATCGGGGTTTCTCTCTCATTCATATTTCTACCTCTCTCTCCATCTTTCTTCCTTTCTCTCTGAAAATCAATAAAAACATATTATTAAAAAAAGAAAGAAACCACTACCTTAAACAAAGTTGTTAATTTTTAGCTCCTATATTTAGGGCATTAATCCAATTATTTGTATACACTCTGTAGAATAGGAATACAAGGTCTTTTTATTTTTAAAAAATATATTTTATTGATTTTTTACAGAAAGGAAGATAGAGGGACAGAGAGCTAGAAACATCGATGAGAGAGAATCATCGATCAGCTGCCTCCTGCACACCCCCCACTGGGGATGCGCCCCCAACCAAGGTACATGCCCTTGATCGGAATCAAACCAGGGACCTTTCAGTCTGCAGGCCGACGCTCTATCCACTGAGCCAAACTGGTTTCGGCTGGTCTTTTTATTTTATCTATTTATTAGAAGCCCACTAAATACATACCCTTTCACAGTCCCGAAGCCCTCATGGGATGTCCAACTGATGGTTTAGGCCCACTCCCCCCGTCGGACATCCTTAGCGCAGATATGGAGGTTGGAGAGGCTCCCGCCACAGCTGCTGTGCTCACCAATCCTGCTCCTGCAGTGAGCATCTGGCCCCTAGTGATTGTGTGCATCATAGCCATTTATTAAGCCATTCAGTCAAGTTGCTGATTAGCCTTTTATTATATAGGATTTTTTAAAAACGAGTTAGTCAAGTTTTATTTTGGAGAAGAAATAAATATGACTGGGAATAGGATAAGAATGATGAATTTTTTGTTTCCATTTCTTGGGATGGTGATATATGGTTATTTTTTAATTATTGCATAACTTGTGCCCAAATCACATTCTTCACCAATTTTTCATCTACAATATAACATTTAGTAATTGTAGACAATATGCTTCTAAAAGTTAACACAAAAAAATCTTGGGAGATCCTTAGACCTAACCCTAACCCAAGCCCTAGCCCTACCCGTGGCCCTAACACTAACTCTAACCCTAACTCTAGCCTTAGCCCTAACCCTAACCATAGCCCTAAAAAAACAACAAAGAAAAACAACAACTTGAGAATTCTATCTAATCCTATATAATAAAAGGCTAATATGCAAATTGACCAAACGACAGAACAACTGATACGGGTAGCTATGACATGCACTAACCACCAAGTGGCAGGCGCTCAGTGCAGGAGCTGCCCCCTGGTGGTCAGTGTGCTCCCAGAGGGGGAACACTGCTTAGCCAGAAGCCCACTCAGAGCTGGAGAGCGCAGTGGCGGTGGCATGAGCCTGTGGCGGTGGCATGAGCCTCTGCCGGAGTGCTAAGGATGGCTGATCAGCGGCTTAGGACCACTCCCCGAAGGCTCCCAGACTGCAAGAGTATGCAAGCCGGGCTGAGGGACCCCCTGAGTGCACGATTTTGTGCACCGGGCCTTTAGTGATAATATCAATTCAATAATAATTTTAAAAATCTCAAAATAGGTTAAGAATTAGCCTTAGCAGGCTTGCCTCAGGGATGGAGCATCAGCCTATGGACTGAAAGATTCCAGGCTTGATTTTGTTCAAGGGCACATGCCCGTGTTGCGGTCCCCAGCAGACAGAGCCGATCAATGATTCTCTCACTGATTTTCATTCTCTCTCTTCCTTCCTCTCTAAAATTAACAAAAAATATATATTTTAAAAAATAGTAAAAATACCTACAATCACAAGACAAAAAGCACCTATTTTGAAATAACCTCATCTCTTTAATCTCATTTGTTCCACTTCAATCACAGTAAGTTGCTATTGAGGAATGAGATCTACACATTTTTTTTAAGCTAAAAGATGAGAATCTCACATTCAAATAATCATCAGCTCATTCCAATTTCCTATTTTATCCTTTTTATTGCCTATTTGTGGTTTTCAAATAGGATGAACCTTACAGTTAGCTGATTCAGTCTCTAGTGAGGTCTTAAAAGTATCTTATAAGAATTCTGCTAATAGCCGAAACCGGTGTGGCTCAATGGACAGAGCGTTAGTCTGCGGACTGAAAGGTCCCAAGTTCGATTCTGGTCAAGGGCATGTACATTGGTTGCGGGCACATCCCCCGTGGGGGGTGTGCAGGAGGCAGCTTGTCGATGTATCTCTCTCATGGATGTTTCTAGCTCTCTATCCCTCTCCCTTCCTCTCTGTGAAAAATCAAAATATGTCTATATATATAAAAAAAAGGAATTCTGCTAATAATCTCATGACTATCTGGTTGAGTATCCTCCCGTCCATTCCCCCTCAAGGCCCAAGTAGTCTTACTTTATAATCCTAATTAGGTTGGTGACCAGATTTCCAAACCAACAGCAGATTAGAAGGGAACAGGATAGGTGACGATGAGAAAACAAGATGGAAAACCTTAACAACTGAATAACTACAGAAGTCTGAGGTTTCTGACTAGAAATTCCGAAAACATCAAAACCTAATCACAGAGATTGAGCCATGTTATCAAAACAAAAAGTTTGCCGAAGCCGGTTTGGCTCAGTGGTAGAGCATCAGTCTGCGGACAAAAGGTCTGGGTTCGATTCCGGTCCAGGGCATGTACATTGGTTGCGGACACATCTCCGGTGGGGGGTGTGCAAGAGGCAGCTGATCAATGTTTCTCTTTCATTGACATTTCTAGCTCTCTATCTTTCTCCCTTCCTCTCTGTAAAAAAATCAATAAAATATATTTTTAAAAAACGTTTGTTACAAGATTTTTTTTCTTGCCATTATTTTTGAGATGCAACAGTTTTATAGAGGGGAAAGAAAGCCTTTAATTTACTATCCCTTTCTGAGTAGAGTGTGCCATTAAAGGGTCTTAAACAGAAGTTAAAGGCATTTTGGATCCTCCAGGGTCCTTAAGGAGTCCTACTTGTTCAGTACCTCATCTTAGGACCAGATCTTTAGCTACATTTATCCCGGTCACTTCCCTGATTGCCAGGTCTGTGGGAGCCATTGGAGCAGCCTGGCAGCCCCCTCAGAAGGGGCGTCAGCAGGTGTTCTAACAAGGCCTCCGGGCATTCCAAGTACCTGTGTGTGGGGGGGGAGCTCTGCAGATGTTCTGACCACAGGAATGCCTAGCTGAACTTTTTCTTTTCTTTTTTTAAATCCTCGCCCGAGGATATTTTCCCATTGATTTTTAGAGAAAGTGGGAAGGGAGGGAAAGAGAGACAGAGAGGGAAACATGGGCACCCCAGCAGGGGCGGGGTAGGCGAAGCAACGGAGGGAAGTGCCCTTGACCAGGAATGTCCGCGCCCAACCCGCAGGTCCCCGGGCGATGCTGTGACCATTGGCCCACCGGCCAGGGATTTTTCTTCCTTTATTTTCATTTATTTATTTATTTTTTTCTGGAGAAAATGAGACTTACGAAGTTGGCTCATAACTTTGGTAACATTGTTTAGGAAGTTACTACTGCCCCAAAGATTAAAAATCACTGCATTATCGTGCCAAACACCCAGACCTCAACTCCTACCGATTAGCTCAAGGCCCCAGCCCGTCGCAGCGGAGAAGCCGCCTCCTCCCGGCTCCAA